CTGCACACAAAAATTTTAGCTTCCCTGGTTACCTTTGAGCAATTGGTGAATCTGAAGACCTGGAAAATGTTTTCACTGCATTTTAGGTATGAAGATGGGTAAGATTTATTGTTGACTTTCTAGATTTCTGAAAAGTGATAAGTCTCTATCAGCCTCTGATATGAAGAGTGAAGGTTATAACATTTTCAGGTTGTGTGGTTGATTCATGGAGGGAAAAGATGAATTTTTAAGGCAATACTATGTAAGAAGATGTCTGAGTGGGTGTGGCCCTCTCACAATTGATATAAAACAGATAGTGTGGACTAGAACACAAACAAGTGGAGTGACTGTGTAGAAAAGCAGAGACTTAAAGCATCAGCATCCAGGAGGACAGGGCCTTTTGCCTGGAGTTCTAAAATTTGTGAGAATTTGATAGAAATAAACTGGTGGCTTGACTGGAGGGGTGGGGGCTGTCCTTCCATCTCTCCATCCTTCTTCTGTGCTGACCAAGGCCATGGAACTTGGAGTGATTGACGTAGGAGAAAAAGAACCTGCTTTTCTGTTGAATTGGACCTGTAAATGTCTGTATTTTTCTTTGGGATCTGCCTCGCTGTCATGTGAACACATTGATAGTATCACTGAATGTCACAATATTGATCACCGCGACTACCTGTCTCAGAAACTGTGACTTGAAGTGTCAGAGGCTCTGTGAACTCTTCTGCCTGAACAAGCCCTGATGAAACCTGGTGATGCGAATGTCAAGGGAATCTGAGGGTTGGAATTACATACTGGGTTTACGGAGCAGTTCTTGACAGATGGATTGAAGGGGTGGTACTAGCCATTCTAGACACCTGGCATGTTGGCCCATTGCTTATAGAAAATATATTAAAGAGAGAAGATAATACGTTATTAACTTTTCTTCCTCCCTTCTACCTTCATTCTTTCCAGCTTTTCCTCTTTCATTTTCTTCATTCCCCCCCCTTTTACTCTCATTAACTTATTAGTGAAGACAAATGGCAAAGTTTCAAGATAATGTTCCAAGATACTTAGCTACATTTAAAGTTCTGCTTTATATATGAATAATATTGAAAATATCAAATTGTTTATGCCAGCACAATCTTCATTAATGACCAACAACATTTTATTTTTTTTTGTTTAAAACACATAATAGTAAAACTATAGGCTCACTTTCTGTGGAGATGAGAGGATACTTAACAGCGTTGCTTGGTACCACACAGCTAAGATTTATGAAATATTACAGCTTTATTCTCTTGCTGCCACCCAGAACTGGTACTGACCCAAATCAGGGTCCTGCTGGAGTCAATGTGACTTTTGTGTTTGCAAGAATGAACTAGGACAACACTGGATTGTGGAACTTAAAAAAGCCAACGAATTTGCTCAGCAACTCTCCTTCATTAGCCAGTCCTTAACAGTACGCAGGGCCTCCGTGCACCCAAGGAGCGCCTCCGCCCCCAGCTCACCGACTGAACTGCAGATGGTTGGTTTTCAAAATGCAGTGAAAGATGTTTAAGTTACAGAAGGCATCAATGCTTCCCCCAAATCCTGATTTTAAAAAATTTCACAGACATGCACAACTACACACTTGGTATTCTTCTAATCTTTTGGTAAACAGAGCAAGGAGTGCAGTGGCCATGCATTTCTGAGCAGCACTCTGAAACATACCAGACCCTTGCAAAGAAAACTACCCAGCTCATATGATCTGACCCGTGTCCAATCTACACAGCTCTCTTTTTCTTATTTCTTCTTTTTCCTTTTTCTCCTCCTCTCAAGGACTTACGTGAGTGTGCAAGTATTTGGAACCCCCCCCCCCACCTCTCACCCCCTACAAGTTCCACAGGCTTTGTTTCAGGCCCTGGGGGAGGAACAGTTGTGAATGCAATGTGACTCACTGACTCCCACTTTCCTGATTCTGGTTCTGATTGGTTGTCACCTTGCTCTAGCCATATGGCTGCAGAGTACTCTAGTCTGCATCCCTTTTTCCTTCTTCCCCTACTGTTCCCTTCTGTTGTACACAGCGCTGGGAGTGGGCTCCGGGCTTTGTCTCTTGCTTGTAGTTTACCCCAGTTAGGCAGTCGGTAGGAGAGCGCCCTGTATTTCCTAAGGATGGCTCTAGAGGAGAAAAACACCTTTTCCTTTTGTGCCTGGTATAGTAATTATTTAGTTTCCTGTGCTGTTCTTGTTCAAAGTTTATTTTTTGGCAGGTGTCACATTTGTGGTGTTTGTTTTCCTCCTGGTTTCTCTCCTCCTCCTGATTTGAGCTGGGTTTTTTTGTGTTTTGGTTTTTTTTTATAAACATTTTTGGAGTCCCTTTCCCTCACTGCTGTGTTACACTTTTGTTAGTTTGTTATTATGTCTGATTAATGCTGATTAATATGTTTGGGGGAGGGAGGCTGAAAGCAACTTTGAATAATTATTTATTTGTTAAATGTCTGGCAGTCACCAAGCAGTAAAATCTGCCTGTGATTCTCAGAATTATCCATAGCACCCCTGCTATTATTCTCCCTTCTCCTAAACTGTGTCAGTTCAATTACTCTGCCATTTATACTTGAGAAAAAGGATTTTGAAGACTCAAAAGTTAATTTTTATAAGCATTTGATATTTTTATTAATTTGCATTTTTATTATTCTGCAGATGGTTTCTGCAGACATTGGACTCTGCATCCTTTTATTTTTCTTTTTAATATTTAACTACTGAAAGAGGAACTGCTAGCAAAGTATAAAGTTCAGCAGACTTTTCCCCCCCAATTGGCCTTTATATGATATTTTCATTGCCTAAAAAAAAAAAAATCAATAATAAAAATATAAAAGTTCTCTCAAGAATATATTTTGTATTGACTTAAAGTTGTTAAAAATCCATTTTGTAAATATTTTAATATTCAAATATGTTAAGCAAGTAGCCTGCAGGTTTGGATTCTTTAGAGAATATGAGCAATGAGGTTGGTTAGAATCATAAGAATTTGAAAATCAACCTGGCTCTCTGATTTCACTTAACTATAAAGATTTTTAGTTACTTCTTTTTTCTCTATTCATAATCTATATTAGAAAATAGCACTCTTTTTATCAGAAAGAACAAACCTTAATTGTTGAACTCACTCAAAAGTGTATGTGAGCCCTGGCCAGTTTGGCTCAGCGGTTGGAGCGTCGGCCTGCGGTCCAGAGAGACCTGGGTTCGGTTCCCGCTGAGGGCACGTACCTCGGTTGCGGTTTGTCCCCGGCCCTGGTCAGTTGTGCGGGTGGCAGCCACTCGATGTGTTCCTTTCACGTCGATGTTTCTCTCTCTCTCTCTGTTCCTCTCTCCCTCCAACTCTACCTGAACAAAAAGTGGAAAAAAATGTCCTCGGGTGAGGAAAAAAAATAAAAATAAATAAAAATAAAAGAAAAAATTAAAAAAAAAAAAAAAAAGTGTATGTGAGGGGTGCTGCTTATACTTCCAGTGGGCAGGAGAGTAAGAACCTAAATCTGGCCCCAAATGATTATTATATGTACTCTGAGCCTTTTGCTGGTCTTTGGTCCCATCACTTTACGTATCATGTGAAGAGAATGAGGATATTAGCCACAGAGTATAGTTGTCAGCAAAATTCCTTTCCCTCATGGAACTTTCGTTCTGTTGAAATGTATTATACTATAATGAAGGTATCCAAGTACACATTTTCTTGGATTTGAACAGGAATAGAAAATTCAGCAAACCTTATTTAAAATTTTCATCTCATGTCCCAAGTTCACGTGTCCAGCGGGCCGGACTGCAGGTCTCTCCTTGCGGCTGCGGCGCGAGAGCAGAGTATGGGCTGCAGTGGTCAAAGTCATGGCAGGACAGGTGTTGAGAAAGCTTCTTCCCCTCTTTGAATGAGTATTAGTTGAAAGGAGTGCTGTGGAAACTGTGACCAAAGGAGGCGTTGTGCTTCCAGAAAAATCTCAAGGAAAAGTATTGCAAGCAGCAGTAGTAGCTGTTGGATCCGGCTCCAAAGGAAAGGGTGGAGAGATTCAACCAGTTAGTGTGAAAGTTGGAGATAAAGTTCTTCTTCCAGAATATGGAGACACCAAAGTAGTTCTAGATTATTTCTTATTTAGAGATGGTGACATTCTTGGAAAGTATGTAGACTGAAATAAACCACTATTGAAATGGCATCATGTAAAGCTGCCCATTCTATTGTAGTTCTGAAATCTTTCATCATGTAAATAATTTCTGTGTCTCTTTTATAATAAACGAATGATATCCAAACTAAAATAAAAAAAAATTTCATCTCATGTAACTAAATCTCTACTCTGCCTAAACAAATGTATGCATTTCTACAGATCCCAGCCCAGCAAAGAAGTCCCGTTCATGAGTTACACATTTCAGTAATTTCGAATGTCTGTTGTTTATATTGCATATTTCTGAGATCAGTGTTTCTTTGTTTAAAAGTCTATTTAATATTTGAATCTGGGATAGATATACAATATTCATTTGATTAACAAAAATTAGTATGGCAGTTATTTATGTTGTCAGATACAAAAAGAAAAATGACCACCAGTGTGCCAATCACAGTTCCGAATATTTTACATCTAGCAGCTGCTTTGGTACTTGTAAGAACCCTAAGGATATTGTTAGTTGCCTCATTTTACAGGACAGGAAATTGAGCCATAGATAGGTTAAGTAATTTGATTAACGTCTTGTGACTGGTAAGTAGCAAAACTGAAATTTGAATTGAGGCAGCTTGTCTCCAGAGTCCTGTACTGCACTGCCCTTCCAGCCTACCATGCTAAGCTAATGACAGTCAAGAAATCTGAGCTCTGCTATGTGACCACCATTAGCTTTTCTTCTCATCGGCATGCCTCAATTTCCCTTTACATATAAAACATTTCTTATGCCATAGGTTTCTCCTTATTTGTGGAATCTGTAAATTTTAGATGTAACAACTTTTAGATTAAAGATGTCAGAGGCATATAATTGCTGCATATTTCTACGCAGCTGGTAGGACAGTATTCTGATAACTTTTCTTTCTTTTTGTTCTCACTTGATAGAAAAGAGTAGTTGAACAGCTACGGAAGAACCTGATAGTAAAGCAAGAACAACCAGACAAATTCCAAATACAGCCATTGCCACAATCTGAAAACAAACTACAAACAGCACAGCAGCAACCACTACAGCAGCTACAGCAACAACAGCAGTACCACCACCACCACGCCCAGTCGGCTGCACCCTCTCCCAATCTGACCGCTTCACAGGTAAAGTGGGTGGAGCGCTGAGGGCTTCCTGTTGTAGATCCATGTGCTATTTATTGGTCAGGGAGAACTGGGTCCCATTTCAGACTATTAAGCTCAACTAGCTGTAAACAAAAGTTATTTTGGTTACTTTTTAATATTATAACTGGGATAAGAATCACTTGAAATTAATTTGCAGAAGGAAATAACATTACTAAGAAGCAAAAGTTAAATGATGTTCCACCTGTCCAAAGAAGGAGGGAAAGGTAGTCAGTGACAGAAAAATCGCTTCTCTGTGTTAAGAACAGAAGTAAAGTCATATTTTGAATTTCTGGAAATATATTTATTTGAGCTTGTTCCAAAAGTCTGCATGACTTCACTTCCTCTGGAATTGTTTTTCTGGAATTCTCAGCAATTTGGCATGGAGATATTAGAAAGAAGCATTTAGAAGGGTGATATATTTCCATTATTCATAGAAACAAAATATTCATTTCTAAGTTCATATTCATGAGAATATGACTGTGTTCTAATACATCTAAGGAAATCTGAAATGGAAGCTGCAGGTCAAAACTAGCACTGAAGAGTACAAGTTTAATAACATTCCAACTTGATGTAGTTGTCCAAATGGTTTTACTGCAAGGACATTTAAACTAGCATATAATGTAAGGATAGGGAGGCATTCAAGACGCACAAAAAGGACATATTTGGGAGTGACATTCGGTTAAGAAAATTATTCAAGCTTGCTCTCCACACACTAAGATGTACAATCAGAACAGCTTTTAAAATGGAGCCCTGGCCCTGGCCGGTTTGGCTCAGCGGTTAGAGCGTCGGCCTGCGGTCCGGAGAGACCCGGGTTCGGTTCCCGCTAAGGGCACGTACTTCGGTTGCAGTTTGTCCCCGGCCCTGGTTGGTCGTGTGGGTGGCAGCCACTCGATGTGTCCCTTCACGTCGATGTTTTGCTCTCTCTCTCCCTTCCTCTCTCTCCCTCCCTCTCTATCTGTACAAAAAATGGAAATATATCCTCGGGTGAGGATAAAAAAAATAAATAAATAAAATTAAAAAATAAAATAAAATGGAGCCCTGGCTGGTTTGGTTTAGCGGTTAGAGTGTTGGCTCATGGGCCAAAGGGCCACGGGTTTGATTCCCAGTCATGGGCATGTACCTGGGTTTCAGGTTTAATCCCTGGTCCTAGTCAGGGCTGGGCAACCAATTGATGTGTCTTTCTCATATCAATGTTTCTCTCTCTTTCTCATGCTCTCTCTCTCTCTCCCCCTCCCTCCCTTTTACGCTATCTAAAAATCAATGGAAAAATATCCTCGAGTGAGGATTAACATAAATAAATAAATAGGGACAATTGAACAGTGGTTCTTGATTCTTGGAGGTCACAGGCCCCTTTAAGACTCTGTTGAAAGCTATGGATCCTTCCCTCCCCAGAAAAATACACACTCACACTTAATGCACTTCATTTTTGCACATGATTTCAGGGACTTAGATCTTTTGAATCTAAGTATGAATATCTCTGATCCACCAATACCAGTTCTTCACTGTATCTTTATATGTAAAGGAAAAGGTTATAATTTACTTGGTTCTTCACTGTTTGTGGACATTTTGCAAGTGAAGAATGCATTTCTTATAAAAATACTAAAGATTACTAAAGGTAGTTAACATTTAATAAAGGTTACTCTATGTTGCTATTCTCCTAAGTACTTTATGCATATTACGGACACATTCCTCATTTCAGCCGTAGGAAGGAAGGTGATGTTGTTATTCTCATCATTATTATATTATTATCTCCTTTTTTTTTTTTTAAGAAAAGAAAACTAAGGCACAGAGAAATTAAGTAATTACCTAAAATTATGTAGGTTGTATGTGGTGGGGCCAGATTTGAACCACTTTTCTATACTGCCGTACAATGCCAAAGGAAGAAATGCCAATGTTATATAAAGTGCCAGAGAAGGAAAAATAATAATCCCTGCTGTGACTCAGAAAGGTAGAGCAGCCTACCTAATGTTTACCCTCATCTCCACCCCAAGGCTATTTATTTATTTATTTATTTATTTATTTATTTATTTATTTTTTAATCATCCTCACTCGAGGACATTTTTCCATTCTTTGTTCAGATAGAGTGGGAGGGAGAGAGAGGAACAGAGAGAGAGAGAAACATCGATGTGAAAGGGACACATCGAGTGGTCGCCACCCGCACAACCAACCAGGGCCGGGGACAAACTGCAACCAAGGCACATGCCCTTAGCGGGAACCGAACCCGGGTCTCTCCAGACCGCAGGCCGATGCTCTAACCGCTGAGCCAAACCGGCCAGGGCCCCAAGGCTATTTAAAAATTAGGTATTCAAACTGATTTCTGAAACTCCCTGACCAGGACTTATATTTTTTCTGAGAGATTGCTTACCAGATTACTTTGTTGGACTTTAAACAAAGTCAGATTAGGTTGTTCTTTTTCCAGAATACAATTTGATCAGAAAGTATGTACATGTAAGGAGTGTGGTAGATTTCATTATTTCTTGGTACGTAGGAACTTTTTCTCCCAACCCATGGAAACTTTCTGTTGAAGTAACATTCTACATCACACAAATCAGAGAAAATACCTAAATAATATGTATAATAGCTAATCCCTTCCTGGTATAATTGGAGTTATGTGCCTAGGGCTATTCCCAAAACAGTGTTGTGTGGCATCTCTCCATCTGAAGTCCACCTGATAGATTTGATTGATTTGGTTAAGCTTGTTTTATGTAATGCAGATTTTTTGTTTGTTTGTTTGTTTGTTTGTTTTTATTGATTTTAGAGGAAGAGGAAGGGAGAGGGAGAGAGAGAGAAAAACATCAATGAGAGAGAACATCGATTGGCCGCCTCCTACATATCCCCCCTGGGGATTGGGCCCACAACCTGGGCATGTGCCCTGGCCAGGAATCGAACCAGCAACCTCCTGATGAATGGGTCTGTGCTCAGCCACTGAGACACACCGGCCGGGCTGTAATGCAGATGTTTAATGTTTAAAGTCAAAAGATCCTCTAGGTTTTTGTCTTTACAATAAACAATCAACATTTATTGAGTACTCTCTATGTGCTAGATTCTGGTATACAAAGAAGTAATAATGGTCCCTGCCTAGAATCTGGTATACTATAATTATTTTCATTCATTCTGTAAATATGTCTTTACTATATGCAAGTACTGTGCTAGACAATGTAGAGGATAGATTCACAAATAAAATAGAATTTCATTCTTCAAGAATTTAGAAACTTTAGAGGAGGGAAAGATGTAAACAACTAACAAAGAAGAATAAAATGAAAATACCCATAAAGGCTGTGAAAACAGCAGAGGACAGAGTAATTTTGAGTGAAGGGGTTAGAGAGTACTTCATAAAGGAGGTGACATTTGAGCAGGGCCTTGACAGATAAGGAAGATCTCAATGATGAGCAGCGTGAGAAAGCATCACAGGTGTAGAGAGTAGTGTGAACAAAAGTGTGGAGTCAAAAAAGTAAATACTCCCTGGCCAGTTTGGCTCAGCATTTAGAGCGTTGGCTTGTGGTCCGGAGAGATCCGGGTAAGGGCACGTACCTCGGTTGCAGTTTGTCCCCAGCCCTGGTTGGGTTGTGCGGGTGGCAGCCACTCGATGTGTCTCTTTCATGTTGATGTTTCTCTCTCTCTCCCACTCTATCTGAACAACAACAACAACAACAAAAAGGAAAAATGTACTCGGGTGAGAGAAAAAAAAGCAAATGCATGCGGGGAATACAAAGGAGGGTGATGTGGCTGGAGCGTAGATTTCAGAAAACAGTGGAGAGGGAGATAGAACCATAAAGGTAGGAAGAGGCTAGCTTGAGGAAGCTCCCCATGTAAGAAAAACTTTTGGGAATTTTGGCAGTCATAGACAGTCCGTAAATGTTCATGAGGTCAAGGACAAATGAGAGGTTGTATATGGCATATATTCAATATCTAATTTCAGAAAACAATAACTGTTAAGTAGCAATCATAGCTTGGGCAGGGAGGAGAAAGTTTTTTATTCTAAGTCAGGTTAGCATGTACCAAGGTAGTAGGGGGAGTAGGGGGCCCAGTTAGTTTCCTTTACTTAGTTAACTTCAACTCATGCTTGTACGTATTAGAAAGTTTTTCAGTCTACAGGGGAAAAATGAAAAAATAGAACATTTGAATGCAGGTATACCCTTCAACTTATATTCACAACCCTGTCACTTTGAATGATGTAATAATACAAATGTAAAGAAGCATGCAGCGAATAAAACCAAAGGCAAAATAAACCCTTACAGACAAAAAGGAAGGGCTCTGTTTGTAGTTGTTTGAGTGTAAAACAGTGACCTTCCATTCAGAATTAAAGAAAATAGTCTAAAATAGATTTGGAAGTTAATTAGAGCCCATAGTAATAATCTGTCTAAGTTCTGATTTGTACCTTGGAGTCTGGATGTTTTCAATCAATACCTCATGCTTGGTAGGTATACAGCAATAATAACGGGGAAAAAAATAAAAAAAATAAGTGAAAGGGATTTAGCAGGTAGCACTTCTTGCCATGTATTTCTGTATTAACTTCTAGTTCATGAAGTTTGGGTTTTGTCAAAAGTAAAGAACCCCTAAGCTAGCCAGTGAGTCTGCTTACCTGAATGTGTTCTGCAGAGATTTAGAAAAAGCTGGCAATAGTAAAGCCGTGTTACGAGCCTTAAAGACATTGACATTGAAGTCATTAAGGTCCCTGAAAATGGCTATAAGAAAAAAAAAGTAAAGAACCCCTTCATGAAATTATGGGGAAGCTGCCATCTTCTCTGGAGGCAGTCATACTTGGACGCATCGGCCCGCCCAGGACAGCTTCCACAGAAATGAGGTTCTTTGTTGTTGGATACCTTTCCTCTCTGTGTCTTTCTTCCCTTCTGCCAGAACAGTTCAGAGGTTTGCATTAGGCTTGAATTTTAAAACTCTAGAGTGTCTTTGTCATCTAAACTCTAACACTCTGAGATCAGTTTGTGTTCTTAATACTTAGAATCGAATAAGCACCAGACTAGGAGTAAAGAGCTGAATAATACCAGTGTCAATATCTGGTGTCAGTAAATAGTTAGTAAATATATTCTCCAAAAAGTTTTCCTCATGCCTATAGTACTGGGTCTTGTGTCTGTGTATACAGAGAGTTGTATAGATGCTAGAATACATGTAGTAAAATTAGCCACAACCAGATATTTATGAAGTAGAATAAAAATGCTAACCTAAGATGTGAACAAGCTTGTTAGGTTTCTGTGTTTTTAAAATGTTGCAGTTAATGGTAAGTATATAATTCAGGTGAGTTTGAGGTTTTGCTTAATCCCTTTAGGGTATTCAAAATAGTGTTAATGATTTACCTGAAATAAGGATGTTTCAGACAGTATATTAACCTCTTTTAAAATAGTAACAACATGCACGCTGTTTTTAAAATCACATCAGTGAGTTTTGCGGATCAGAGCTTTATTTCCATAACCCGTGGTAGTACCAGGATGTGACTTGCTCACCACTTCAAACGTTCTTTGTATTTAGATTTTTAAATGAAAAGATAGAGCTAATATCACACTGGGTTAAAAACGCTTATCACGCATAGCTAGTAATGTAAAGTCAGTCCTTGCTGCTACACTACGGTAACATTTCTAAAGATGAATAGCATTTAGCTTTTATTTTGTTTTTATCCCTGACAGAGAGTAGGTGGCCTGCTCACTCCTAAAACAAATATGAGTATTCCCCTTTTACTCTCATTTCACATTTGAGGAAGCAGTGGCAAGGAGAATAAGCCGCTCCTGTGTTGTTGACTCAGAGAAGAGAAAACAAAGATTTAGGCAATTTTGATGACAAGCATTAATCAGGATTTCTGATTAAGCTATGATGGGACAGATGAAGCCAGATCATTAAAGTTTTGGTTAAAAGAAAAAAACTGTTAAAAGATTAGGTAATATATACTTATATTTATGTGTTTAAGGCAGAAAATGGAAATAAAGAATTACCTATCACCAAACAACTTAATGCACAAGTACTTATATAGACACTGAAACAGAAATTCACAAGGGAATTGTTCAGATCTGATTCAGGGACAGTGGGTCCTTGTCACTGGTCTAGAGCAGTGCTGTCCAGTAGAACTTCCCGCCCGTTGGAAATCTCCACCATCCAGTCTGGTAGTCGTGAGCCACATGTGGCTGCTCAGCACGGGCTGTAGCGAGATGATCGATGAACTGATGTTTTAATTTTGTTTGTTTTAATTATCTTAATTTAAACAGCCATATGTGGCTTGTAGCTACCAAGTTGGGCAGTGCAGGTGTAAAGTAAGAAGAAAAAAGTAGGGGTAGTATCAAAATCAGGACCAACAAGGGGAACCAGATAAATTTTTCTGTTCCTGAAATGTCTGTATCTTGAGTGACTGACTAGTAGCACTAGATAGATGCATTTGCCATGTCTGCCTCCTTTAATTACTCTAGTGGAAAGTCTAGAAAATACAGTTTCAAAGCTGTAGTAGCTCTTATGGAGCATCAGTTAGGTCTCTCACCTCAGGTTGTCCTCTGATCCAGACACCTTTGAAACTCAGGTGTTTGTTTCCACCTTGTCACATGTTTCCCTGGATTTTTGATCACTTCTGCAGCAGTTCTCCAGAGAGAAGATTATAGGTAGTGACTCATATCCCTTTAGTATCAAGAGCTGGAATTTACTATACTACTTGGTTTTATTACCCAGTTTTGGGATTTACTTGCCTTTGAGGCAACAATTACACTAATCCTCATATGAGGTCCCCTTCCACCCTCCAGGGTGACACTCAAAAGAATGAAAAGATACTGTCCTTTTATCCCCGCTTTTGTATAACCGAAGGCAGATAATCAGAATTTTATGATGGCTTTCTTCCTATTGATGAGATTGTAGCAATTAAGGATTGAGATAGTGTAGCAATTAAAGATTGATTTGCAACTTCTACAAAATTTAAATTAATTGAGAGTGAGCTAAGAATTAGAAAAAATAGATGCACTCATATTCTGTATCCAGAAACCCACCCAACTCTGTTGAAAACCTTGTGCCCATATCAGTCGCAGTTATTGCTGTGAGCTTAAAGCTAAATTTGAGAGCTCTGCAAACTAGAAATCGTCTTTCTGTGTAGTAAGATGTGTGCTCTGTGAACACAAAAGAAATGTTGTTATACTGAGAAACTTGATTGATTATGAGAATTAATTGCTTTGTTTTCTGCTGGGGGTTAGCAGTATATTGTTTAGTAGGATCACACTTCAGTGTCCTAATATCTGTTCTCCATGTCTCCTAGAAGACTGTAACTACAGCTTCTATGATTACCACAAAGACACTACCTCTCGTCTTGAAAGCAGCAACTGCGACCATGCCTGCCTCTGTTGTGGGCCAGAGACCTACCATTGCTATGGTGACCGCCATCAACAGTCAGAAGGCTGTGCTCAGCACTGATGTGCAGAACACACCAGTCAACCTCCAGACGTCTAATAAGGTCACTGGGCCTGGGGCAGAGGCTGTCCAAATTGTGGCAAAAAACACAGTCACTCTGGTAAGCCAGCAGCTGCTACTCATGTGTGCCCACATGAGAGGGTTCAGGATAGGTGTTTGTAGAGTATATCTAGTTCATGCTCCTGCTGGATTTTTCAATCTCCATCGTTCTGCCACACCAAATTCCCCTTTGGGGCTGAGTAGGGAATATGGCTTTCCTGCTATCTACTCAAATAACTATAGTTATCCTGACACCAAAGACCAAAACCCATTCAGTGCATTATCTTGAGTTCAAAGTCTCACTTGCCTGGAGGGGGCAGAAATGCCCTTCACAGAGGCATACACACTGTTTCATGTACCTCTGCCTCCTGTCCACGGCCCTTCCTGTGAAACTTGAGTGCTTAGTCTCTCTGGTGCTATGTTACTGACTTGGAGAAACTCCCTGTTGAATTCTTACAGTTCACTATCCCTTGAAATTGACTTCACTCAGGAAGTACTGGACAAAATTGTTCATGAGATTTTTTAGGGTAAACCATTTAGAAATTGATGTTCTCATCAGTCTTGGGGAAGGATATCCAAATTGTGGTTTAAAAGTTTGCTCCTAAAATGTCAGCTAAAAGTTCCTGGTGGCTTTTGAATGATGACCAGTGACGAGTGAAACTAAAGAGCAATAGCACGAAAAGCTTCATTGCTTAAACCCAGGAATCTTCAAAGAAGTAACCAGATAACTCAGACAGATGCTGAGAGTGAGAAAATTCTCTATAGGAATAAAGCCATTCACTGTTAGGTAAAACTCTATGTTAGGAAAGAGCCCATTTGGCCAGGCAGCAAGTTTCATTTTATTTTCGATCCAGTTTCAACTTTTAAAATACGTTAAGTGCAAGAGTTCTTGAGTGTCAAAGGAAACCATCTAAGATTGCTGAGCCTGCATGTTCCACACATGTGGTTGGTTCACACGTGGGGTAAAGCATGCAGGTGGGAGAGTGTTAATTCAGGTGGTTAATTCTATAGTGACAGCTTGTAGAAAAATATTGTCTGATCCAGAGAACAGTGATGCTGAAAATACTTTAAGAATGTCTAGCTTTGATATTGAACATTTATTGTCCTTTCTGATTTACTTACCTTTCTCATTTTTTAGCAGGTTCAGGCAACACCTCCTCAGCCCATCAAAGTACCACAGTTTATCCCTCCTCCTAGACTCACTCCACGTCCAAACTTTCTTCCACAGGTGAGTGAATCACTGACGAGCCGTGAGGGGTAGGTGGGACAGAAATCCTCACGGGCCCTTCCTGCGCAGCCCATACGCTCTTGTCAGCTCAGCTGCATTCAGATTGCACTTAGCTGAAGACTCCAGCTGCTGATTTCTATACCATGAAGAAGCTCATTTTATCACCAGGGTTTCTTAACAATGACCAATGTCATTAGCCAGAGGGATGTAAGGAAAGGAAAATTCCCTAAATTTAAAATAATTAAGATAACATCATTTTAAACCTTATAATGTTAACTTACTGGAAGAAGTTAGCCAAAACCTGCCTGCCGGTGCGGAAGGAGTATAAATACCACTTTATACGTTTTTTTCCTATATGCCAGAGAAGGAAACAACCAGCTAACTAGTAGAAACCATTCGGTTCTGCTCTGGAAAGTGATGGCATTGAACATCATACTTAAACACAAAGCCATGCTTCTGAAGATTGAGACTAGGGTTTACACAGGGAGCTTTCTGTGTACGCCCAGGCAACTCAGCTTGCCCATGTTCTCTTGAGAGTTTTCTTCAGCAATTGGGCCGAACTCACCATTTTCATGGCAGAATGTCAGGGTTGCCCCAATCTGAATCTTGAGGAGTTGATATGCTTCATGGAAAGGCTGGGGATTCCTGTCTGAGGCCCCAGGTTTCAGACAAAGAGAGAAGAGAAAGGAATTTTGTGGTCAGTGGCCATAAGGGACTTCTGAACTGCCTATATGATTTTACTCATTTATCAGATAAATTCTTAATAAATACCTTATGTTTCAAAAAGGCACTAAACACTAGGATATGCCCATTTTCAAGACAGACAGTTCCCTGTCCTCGGAGAGCTTCAGGCACATGTACAAGCAATTATACTGTGTATTGTGGAAAGTACAGGGTAGCCTGGGAAGACACGGGAGGATACCCAGCTCATTCTTAAGAGTGCTACAGAACATTTCCATGAAGAGTTGACATTCTATCTGAGATGTAAAATCCTAGTAAAGTTAGTCTGAGTTTGGGGGGAAGAATAAAAATACTCCAGACAGAGAGCAAAGCATATAGGTGAGTCTAGGTGGAGAAATGCACGTGAGCTTAAGGAACCAAATGGGATTTGGTATAACCAAGCACAGTGAGCCACGTGGCTGACTCAGGCTGGAGTAAGAGATGAGGCTGGAGATGCCTAATAGGCCAGAGCCTGTGGGGCATTATAGGCTATATAGGAATTTGGGTCTTATCCCAGGAACAGTGGGGAGCCATTAAAGCATGTTCATGATCAGATTTTTGTTTTAGAAAATTCCTTCTTGCCACTGTGTGGAGAATAGATTAGAGGTGGTCAAGACTGAGGAGGAAGAACAGTTAGGGTATTGTCAACAATAACAGCAGCTACTGTTTAGAGAACTGCTATGTGCCACTTACTGTATAGGCACTTTACTTGGGTTATCTATTTGAATCCTCACAACGACCCTATGAAAGTAGGTGTTGCTCTTTTTTAGGTAAGGACTTTTAGTCTGTGTTTTATGTTTTTAAAATGGTGGATCATGACTTATTAGTTAGCTGTGAGATTAGTTTAGTGGATTATAAGCAGAGTTTTTAAATAAAATGAACAGAACATAATAGGAAATACTAGCAAACATAGCACTTAAGTATTGTTTCATGAAGTTTTTATTTTATAGAGATAGAGATATATGTCTCTCTGTGTGTACTGGTTGCAGCATGAAATGTATTTCCTACTGTGTGACTGTTGCACCCAACACAGGGTCAACTTAAGTTTAGCTAAACATTCAGACTCACAAGACTGTCAAGGGCCACACTTGGCACCAGTCTACTTAGAACGACACAAGACAGAAACCAGAACTTGCCAGCTCTTGTTCAGCATCAGACATCTTTCCTGAGTGGGTGTCCCTGTAGGAGCCCCTCTAGCAGTCCATGGCTGTCCAGGGGTGCAGGGAAGTCAGGACAGTGGGAGAGCCACTCTGGTGTAGAAATGCTTCACAGAAGCCAGTGTATCTTGTAACAAACAGTTCCATAGGCACAGCTTTCAAGATCCCTGCAGATGACATACCTCACTTCAGGAAGCCCAAAGTATGGCGTCCCATCAAGTATTTATAAATCTCCCCATTCAGATTCGATTTAGCAATAAGGGGTCATTTCTGCCATAAGCAATGTTGCTTGGAAACACAGTTGACATTCTTACCTTTATCAGGTTTCCAGGGGAACAGAGCTAGAGAGCTAACTGAAGGTCAAACATGCATAAGGAGAAAGAATTTTGCTATCATAGGGTCACAGTTTAGAAAGTTTGAAAAATACTGGCTTAGAGAGATTAGGTACGTTGCCTAAGATTATACAGCTAGTAAGTAGTAGAACCAGGATTTGAACCCGGGCAAGGCTGATCCTATGTTTTTAATCACAATTTTCTGCCACTGTTTCAGTAAGCCATAAGGTAAAGTAGGGCAGTGAGGACAGAAAGAAGGACATATTTGAGAAGGATTTAAGAAGTAGAGGTGAAGTAGGAAGCATCAGAATCGTTCTGAAGTTTATTTAGCAAAGGAAATGCCATTTACTGAGGTGATGATTATAGAAGGAAGAGAAGGTTGGAGGAAGAAATGAATGAGTTTTAGACATGTTGATTTTGAACTTCTTGTGAGATTTCCAAATAGCGATGTCTAATAGGCAGTTGAATATGGCTCTGAAATTTAGGAAATGTCTGGTCCTAAGATACAAGCGTGAAAGTCTTCAGTACATAGATGTTAAGTGAAGCCTAGGAGGGATGAGAGCTCCTGGGAGTGAGGACACCGGGAGGAAAAGGGGTTCCAGGACAAAATCCTGAGATACACTTACATTTATTATTTATTGTTTCACAGAGGAAGAGCTCACAAAGGAAACAGAGAGAAGGGGTGGCCAAGGCGGGGAGTTGAAGGGCCAGAGATGGTGGTGAACTGAGCTGTGGAGAGGAAGAATGTGCATGAAGGCCATCAGCAGCATTATTACCGTGCTCTGGGCACAAGTTCTGGGTGGGAGCAGTCTCTGGACTGGGCGTTTGGCCTCAGCCTGAAGAGGCAGCATGGTATAATAGTGCTAGGTTTAGAATCAGAACTGCATTCTAGGGTAGCATTTGAACCCTCTAAAGAGCTGATGAATCTTTTATAAGATTATATATCTTGAGATCTATAGAAATTAAAAAAGTAAATATTAATATTTGTACTAAATAGCATTTCACATATAGAGTGTAGAAGATCTGATAATTACTTAGACTTACAGGAAGTTTCTTTAAGTAATACGATAATTGTTCTCTCTTTCCCCATAGGTTCGACCCAAGCCTGTGGCCCAGAATAACATTCCTATTGCCCCAGCACCTCCTCCCATGCTTGCAGCTCCTCAACTTATCCAGAGGCCTGTTATGCTGACCAAGTTTACCCCCACAACCCTCCCTACCTCCCAGAATTCCATCCACCCCGTCCGGGTCGTCAATGGGCAGACTGCAACCATAGCCAAAACGTTCCCCATGGCCCAGCTCACCAGCATTGTGATAGCTACTCCAGGGACCAGACTCGCTGGACCTCAAACTGTACAGCTTAGCAAGCCAAGCCTTGAAAAACAGGTACAGGCAAGAGTATGCACCTGCTTTGGGCAGTAGCCTTGCCATTGAGGCTGGTCTCTCTCTAAATATATCTTCTCAAGGGCTCTCTCTCAGCACCCCTGTCAGTAACCTGTTGCTTATTATGTGATCATTTATTCAAAATGCAGAAGGGCCATTCTTACTGAAGAAAGTTGGGTTGCTTTTTCCTTTATTCCCTTATAGATGGATTCAGAGTCCTGTGTGAGTGAGCTCCCCCTGCTGGTTCTGAAGCAGAAATTCACAGATGGGTTCTGCTGCCCTCAGACAGGAAGCACAAATGAGATAGTAAACAGAAAATCCCATATTAGTTTTGGCCCAATAAGAATCCAGATGAGGATAGTACTATGAGAGTCAGGAAGAATAAACAAAAGAAGGAAAGGGTTTTCACCTCAAATATTTTCCCTGGTTATTATAGATAATGAAAATTTTTTTCTATAAAGCATTATTTTAACTCTAGAGGATACAAACATTTTAGCTCCAATATTGAAGCTTTTCATTTATATTTCTAAAAGCAGATGTTCTCTTAAAAACATGAGGCTAGAGGCTAGCTGGTTTGGCTTAGTGGTTAGAGCATTGGCCTGCAGACCAAAGGGTCTCAGTATGGATTCTCTGTCAAGGGCTCATACCTAAGTTGCAGGTTCGATCCCCAGCCCCCGTTGGGGTCATGTGGGAGGCAGCCACTTGATGTGTATCTCTTATATTAATGTTTCTCTCTCTCCCCCCACCCCCTTCTTTCCTCCCATGCTCCCTCCCTCCCTCCCGTGCTATCTAAAAAAATGAATGGAAAAATATTCTCAGGTGAGGATTAAAAAACAAACAAACATGAAGCCAGAGAAATACAGGTAATCCCTCAAAATACTTAAGGGTTCTATGACAGAAAGACTTCAAAAAACAAGAAAAAGGATTTATAGGCAATCACCATATATTCTATTTAAAGAAAAACTAGTGATGAAAAAGAAGAATTTTGCAAAGAAAAGCATCCTCCTTCAGAAAGTTACTTTAAAAAGACATTAACCTACTTCTAATTGCTCAGGCTTGAGTTCCCATTTATCTGAAAACAGTCTCTGGTGACCCTGAATCTTCTGCTTCCGGGAGGCTGACTGTGCTTCAGAGAGGCTGGCCAGAAGGCGGGGAATGAGAAAGCACTGTGCTGCCTTGGCCTCTGGAACAGGGGAACCTTATGCATAGAGCACCAGCTTCCTACCCAGGCAGCTCATAACTGCAGCAGACCTTTCACTGGGAGGCTGGTACCAAAATCTTGTGTTCAGGCAACACAGGAGAGAATACTTCTCTATTCCTGGGAGCCTACTCAAACTCCAGGAAATACCTTGAGGAACATTCAGAAATAAATTACTTACACATATTTTAGATCAGAAGTCTTCAAATTTATCAGTAGAACTTCAGTATTAAAGTATTGAATGTAGAATGCTGAAGCTTAGGAGTTTGGGTAGAGGCATGTTTGAAGATCATTTGCCCTTATGTCCCGGGATGGCTTGCAAAGTACCTCTGAGGACCCTTAGAATTATAAAGAACATAGTTTCAAAACACTATTTAAGATTGCTAAATATTATTTCTCTTTTATCTCTCTTTTTTAAAAAATTTTTTAATCCTCACCCGAGGACATTTTTCCATTTTTTGTTCAGATAGAGTGGGAGGGAGAGAGAGGAAGAGAGAGAGAGAGAAACATCGATGTGAAAGGGACACACCGAGTGGCTGCCACCCACATGACCAACCAGGGCCAGGGACAAACTGCAACCGAAGTACATGCCCTTAGCAGGAACCGAACCCAGGTCTCTCTGGACCGCGGGCCGATGCTCTAACCGCTGAGCCAAACGGGCCAGGGCTCTTTTATCTCTTTTTTGATAAAGGTATTTTTAGGAGACAAGAATTTTTTCAGTTTTATCTAATTTTTACATTTCTTGTTTTTTTCTGTTTACAAAGATGATACATACTCATTGTTTTAAAATTTCAAACATTACAGAAATATATATTGTAGAAAGTGTATCCCCCATAATCTTTGAAGAGAGTAAAATTCCTCCATACTTTTACCTCCCAAAAGTTATAAACAATATAGGTTATATTCCCCCACATACTTTCTATGCATATACTAATTTTTTTTTAAATCCTCAGCTGAGGATATTTTTCCACTTATTTTTAGACAGAGTGGGAGGGAGGGAAGAAGGGAGAGAGAGAGAAAGGGAGGGAGAGAGAGAGAAAAAGAGAAACATTGATGTGAGAGAGACACATCAGTTGGCTGCCTCCTGCAAGACCCCAAGGGACCTGCCCTTGACCAGACTCTTCGGTCCACTGGCTGATGCTCCAACCACTGAGCCAAATTGGCCAAGGCACACATACTAATATTTTTAAAGAAAAAAAAAAAAAAAAATCGATATAGCCCTGGCCGGTTTTTCTCAGTGGTTAGAGCATCGGCCTGCGGACCAGAGAGTCCCAGGTTCGGTTCCCACTAAGGGCACACCGTACCTTGGTTGCAGTTTGTCCCTGGCCCCAGTTGGGGTTGTGTGGGTGGCAGCCACTCGATGTGTCTCATGTCGATGTTTCTCCCTCTCTCTTCCTCCCTCTTGCCCTCCCGCTCTATCTGAAGATAAATGCCAAAAAAAAAAAATCAATATATATTATTTTATAACTCTTTTTCTTATTAGAGCTTTAATGTCTTTTCATGTTCTGGCCTTACGCATTGATAGAGCTTTCAGAATTAATTATAATATCATGGAAAGGTTCCCATGAATTCTTAAAAAATAAAAAAAAGTCTTTTAAAATTCTATAGTTTCTCTCCTTGTTGAGCTAACAGAGGAACCCAGTAATTGCTGTTTTAGTTTAGTATGCTACCTGGCATAACAATCTTACAGGTTACCAAGCTCAGCAAGGATTACCAGGCAGGTTAACTGCAAGGATTCGCTTTAGACAGACTCCATTCTCAGAATTCTCTTCAGATTTTTCTGCTGTCCTTCTTTTTCATGTTTCATTTCCAGCATCACATGTATAGCAATGAAGAGATCTCACAGATGGCTAAGAGTGAAGCAATGTAGATGCACATGTAGCCACGAAGTACCGCTTATAGCCTGCTCATAGAGTTATCAAAACCTGTTCCCAACAGTCTGTGTGACCAGGCTAGGTGGGTTTCTTTCTGCTTTCTACTGTTCCTTTAGGGTGATGATGATCATTGAATAAAAATAGGATCATGTGCCAGCTGCTGTGCCGCACGTGGTGTCTCATACGAAGGTAGATGCATCAAAGCCTATACCCCCACAAAATTCCCTCTCTCGTGTGTTTGAGCCTGGCAAGCTGTGCAGAGTCAAAGGCTCCCACCTTGGCCTAGGAAAAGGAGAAGACAGTGCCCATTACAACAGCAGTGGTCTCACTTCTTGCCCTGTCAGAGATCATCAGCTTCCTTATCCACTCCAGAGATGGGGTCCCCTGTCTTAGCCCTTATTAGAAACCACATTATTGTGGTTCTGAATAAAATGAGTGGTAGAACTTAAAGAACTTTGAGATAGACTGGAAACATACATTTATGCAGAAAAGTAGATAAATCCAAATGTAACGCCCCCACAGCACTACCTTTTATGTCCTTTTCCTTCCCAACATTAGGAAATGGGGCTAAATACCTGTTGATGATGGAATGAGATGAAGTGTTTCAAGTCCCCTTGACTGTGTCTGACACAGTTAGTTCTCAGGAGTTGTGTTCATTTCTTATCCAGCCCACTCCACCCCCAGCAACGAAGACCTCTGTGTATGACCCAAGGCTCAGCTACTGAAAAAATCCCAGGTTTTTGTGGGAAAAACTGTCAGATTGCCACCCATTCTCCTACTTCCATATATGTCTTATATAGGAACCTACACAGTATCATCTAAAAAAGGAGTACTTTCAAGATGAGAATATTATCTGATGTGTTATTCTCAAAACCCAGTCTTCCCTCTTAGTAATCTTGAGCTGGTGACTCTTTAATGCTTCCATTTGAATACTGCTATAGGGAAAATAGATCCAAGGGACCAAACCATGGCTTTTGCTTTGCCTTCCATCCAAATTTATTTAACCTTAATTGATGAAACTATTTGGACGTTTATATATTTGCCATTTCCTGACTTTGCTCATTCATACAGCCAAGTCACAGAAGGTGAATTTGGCATTAAGAGTATAAATGGTTAACTTAATTCTAGTCTTGTTTAGAGATTTTTATTTCTATCTTTATAATAACAAAAAAGGATTTACAAATTTAAGAGCCATGTATGTGAAACAGGAAATATGAATGAGTAAAGCAGGTTGGACTTTTGTCCCCACTGGATACGTGAGTGCAAGAAATATCCCATTTTTATTCTGTTTTTTAAAATATATTTTTCCTTTATTGATTTTAGAGAGAGAGGAAAGGAGAGGGAGAGAGAGACAGAAACATTGATGAGAGAGAACATCAATTGGTCACCTCCTGCATGCCCCCCACTGGGGATTTTGCCCACAACCTGGGCATGTGCCCTGACTGGGAATCAGGTCCCATTTTTATTCCTAATTTCTCTTTGAAATAGTAAGACAAGCATGATAAAATTGACAATTTGGCCTTGGTGTCAAGAAAACAGTAGAAAGTGGAAGAGACTGTGGTAAATTGCAAAGTAATATACTCCATCTCCAGGAAGCAGCTGTTTCTTGGCAATAGCCAATTTTTATCATATGGAAATTTTTCAAGAAAAGCCAGAAATCCAGATATTTTGAGAAATCACCTAGGTTTTAAAATACTGGTAACTCTTTATATATCATGTAAGCAAAAAATATCTGCAGGGAAGCTTCACCTTTGGATAAGGGTTTATAATCTCTGATAGAGACCAAACTTTTAGCTTCATCCATTTTTTAATTTTGTTTGCCAACTTAATTTTTTTAATTGAGGTGAAATTCACATCACATAAAATGAACAATGTTGAAACAAACAATTTTAAGCAAAATAACATATAATGAAACCAATTTTGCTATAGGCTACTTGTTATCCATAGGATCTGGTTTATATCAGTCAGCCTATAGTAAAATTGCATAAGGTCGTAATTTTCCAGAACCTTTTGGTAACATTAAGTGAGGACTTACTGTATACATTTTTAGATGCCATCTGGAAAGTCATTCCAGCCTAAGGTGGGCAAATCAAAAGTCAGCCTTCGAACCAGTCATCAAACAGTCAAAATTCATAAACACAAGTTTTTGAAAACATATTTCTCCCCCTGGCACCAGCAAGTCCTACCAAGGACACAGGTCACCATCCCTACAGCCTCTGCCCAGCTAGGGAATGGAGTTTTGTTGGTAGGTAAGAAAAAAATGCTTTCTTAGTAGAATATAGCAGCCTCTTTCTTAAGTGCCCCCTCGTTGCAATAACTTTATTGGATTCCAGAGTTCTAAAAAGATTCTGTTTATGCAGCTTAATGGTTGCTTCAGTAGAAGGATTGATTCTTAGAACTCCCTGTTCTGCCATTTCTGTGATGTCACTCCCTCACCCTAATGGTTTTTATTTGTTTTAAATAGCTTCAGACAACAAACTTTCATTTGTTACCCAGTTTCTGGTGGTCAGGAATCAGGTTGTGTCATAGCTGGGTGTTTCTGGCTTAAGGTCCTTCGCAGTTTGTATCCAGACTAGCTGGCCAGGGCTGCAGTCATCTCTCGGGCTCAAGTGGGACTGGATAATCCACTTCCAGATGCAGACCATGGTCGTTGGCAGGCCTCACTCCTCACTGGCTGTCGGCAGGAGGGTCTGTTCTTCACCACGTGGGCCTCCCCACAGTGCTGTTCCCCACACGGCACCGGGCCTTTCACAGAGTGAGAGAGACCCGTGAGAGGAAAATACCTCCCCAGTGTTTATTTTATTTGTATTCCTTTGAATGATTTTGGTGTGTTTTATCCAACCCTGAGATAATTGTACTCTTCTGCATGAGAGAGAAGGTTCGGACCCTGGACCATTTCTCAGTGGAAAGGCATTGGTTTGTCTTCTTTCCCCGGAGGCAGCGCCACTGCTGTACGGCCTTGGAGGTGGAGCGAGGGACTTCAGGGACTTCACAGTTGTGGAGCAGCGAACCCTCCAGCTGAGCGGCTTGTCTCCCTCCTCCCTCTGACTCTGTCCTTCCACATCAAGAGAGCTTTGGAAATAAGCTTTCTGGACACCTAAGACCTTAAAAATGTCATATAAACTGCTTTCCTGTGCGTTCCTTGTAGCTGTGTGTGGTGGTTTGTTTTATGGAGGGGTAAATATGTCCTTTTGGTTCAAAACTGAGTGGTGTGAGAGAGAAGAGTCACGAGTGATTCTCCTGGTGGCCACACTCCCCACCTGCTCTGTGTGAGGTGTTGCGCCAGGCACAAAGGGGTGCGGATTGTGTAGGGCCCTCCCTGCGTGTTGTGCAGGGGAGGAGGTATGGCAAGACACTGGAGAAAACAAGGCAGCATTTGTACCTCGAAACAGATGCTTACACTTTCCTAAGGTAATATGATAAACAAGGAAAATATGGGAGCAGCCAGGAAAGATCTTTGTGACTGTGTTAGTTTTTTCAGATCTAGTCAAATATTTCACAGCATAATGATTTTCGAGAACTTTTGATGTCTTGCCTGTAGGACTGAAGTCTTTTATTTGGCTCCTACTCATCAATGATCAGTTTCACTCTCACTTATTTAATTACTTGTTTCCATACAAAAAGACCATTGGCATCTCCTTTTTTTAATTTTGAAAAAGTAAATTAGGTTTGTGTTTAGTCTCATATCTACTGTCCTAGCATCATTTCAGTATTTATAGAGGGCTTCATGAAATGAATTATCCACTGGGTCATGATAAGAATAGTAATGCAAGCCCAGTCTACCAATTTGCTAGCCGCCATTTGTGTTTGAAAATGATAATGCTGCTGGTGTTTCTTCTGTTTGAATGGATGCATCTGGAAGACGAGGTTGCAGGTAATCAGAATGTCAGCCTCTTGCAAGATGACCTCTCCTTGGCAACTGTGTGTCTCTAATGGATGATGCAGACAGGTTTTAAATATCCCAAGTGAGGCTAGTTCTGCAACCTCTCTTAGATTGTGATTAGAAATGTTCTGCAATAGAGGAGTGTGTGTGTAAGATTTTTTTATATCATTCAGATCTTAAGCATGCTGTGGGCTGGTGCTTGACCCACATGTAACAAGAAGTGGGCTTGCTTTTGGAAAACTGCCCCTACATTCTAAAATATGTTAAAATCAGAGAGAGCAGCCTATGCTTTACTTTTATTTTAATTCCATAGGAATTAAACTATGGATTTTCTTTTTGTATAATTTAAACTATTGTATTTATAGACTCATATTTTCTCTACTTACACAATTTAACCATTTTAACTGGGACCTTGCCTTTTACATTTCTTTTCTTCCAAAATGAAATCCATATTACTTTCTTCATTACTCTTTCCACTTTGAGTGTGTTCTTCTTTTCTTTCTTGTTGACTACAAACTTTGTTTGTTTCCATTCTTTTAATGAAAAGTGAATTCTGAATTTTCATTTATTTTTCCTCTCCTAGACAATTAAATCTCACACAGAAGCAGATGAGAAACAAACAGAGAGCCGCACCGTCACTCCACCTGCCGCACCCAAACCAAAACGGGAGGAGAACCCTCAGGTCGGTCCAGCCCTCCAGAGGTGTGGCTGTCTAGGAGATGTGGCTTATTCTCACACACCAGGGGGGATACTTGCTCCTGAATCATTTTGTCTCTTCTTTTGCTTTCTCATTATTCAGTGCTGTTATTGCCAAGTCAGGCTGGCCCAGGGCAGATTAAAAGTGTGGCCTTGAGTGTCCATGAGCTGGCATACAGGCATTCCTTTCACGTAACAGACTTGAAATGTGAGCTTAGTGATCATTTTCCCAGATACCCCATTGCAGTCCTAATGTTCATTATGTTTTGTTGGTCTCAGCCAACATTTATAAGATGTTCAGTTCACTCAGCGAGGGTCTATATTATCAATTACAGTTGTTACATATGCTTTTTGTTATTACTGTTGTATTGCACTGGATTCCCAAGTCCCAGATGAACCAGTAGTTGAAAAGTAGTTCACTGAAGCATAAAAGTAGGGATGAAAATAGTAACATCTGTACCACAATTTAGGATAGAAATATAAACAAGACTCTGATACAAATGCAAAAGGTGCATTTGTATGTTCTTAGACAAGAGAATTTTTAAGTTTGATGATTTTGCACAAGCAGCTATAAAAGAAAAATTGGACAGGTAAGATGATGATGAATATCTGATAGTTGGGTTTTATTAGACTGGTCATTCACTTCCTTCTATCCTCTGTGCATTCTTTGTAATGAAACCCTGTCAAATAGTAGCACGAAGCCATCAAAGCTTCATGTCATTTTTTTTTTAAAAGGTGATTTATAAAGCCAGTGAAGGTTTTCCTAAAACAAACACACATTATAATTCTTTCTGATATGAAGTGGATTAATTTTTAATTTATCTTAAAGGAAGGACCAAAACTTGAACCAAATTGCTGAGAAACTTATAAAGTTTTCCATAAAATGAGGAAGAAAAATAGAACACGCTATTAGCTTGGACGAAAAAAAATAGAATAAGCTATTAGCAAAATTTTCTTATTAAAGAAACTGAAGGATGTGCGTCAGTGGCACAGTGTAGGAAGCAGGTGCCTACCGTCATCGGCAGCAGCAGGTATCTTCCCTCCTAGTTGGAGAGAGTCGCTGCCATCAGGAGAATGAGCGAGTTCTTAGCACATGTGTGGTACATCGATGAGACGAGAGTTCCTGACAACTCTTCGTTTTGTTTGTCACTGAAAACCTGTCCCACAGGAGAGGATTTTTTTTTATTTATTGAATAATTCTTCTGTGAGCTCGCTCTGGACTGGCAGGGACGAGCTGGGTGTGAGCGGCCGAGAAGGGCGCTGTCTCTTGATTAAGGAAAGCGCATCTGAGTGTCAGTCCTCACGTTGCTTTCACAGAGATTAGTCGGTAGACAGCCTTCTAATCTTGATTAATTTTTGAAAAGTGAAAATTAGGAATGAAGTTATTTGGCAACCATAAAATGTAGAGTGTGGAAAATGGACAGCAAGTCCAAGACTGCTTTTCCTTGCCAAAGAACTCTGGCTGTTGGGGGAGAGATGCCCCCCTGAGTTTGGAATAAGAAATCAAATAAAAACACTTCTTCAGGATTCTGAGACAGCAGTACAGGTCATTTCTGTGTTCTGCAGTGGCTTCTTCGAGAGCTGTTCTTCATAAAACACTGTATTGAGTAGCCTGAACCTTTCTCATCAGGCCAGAATATCATAATATTTAATGTTGAGGGTGAACTGTCAGGATTTTCTAAGACAGACTTGTGGTATAAATAATTCTACAGGAGTATGTCTCCTAGCAATTGGTGTTATTCTTATTTATCGGCAGAAGTCGATGATGCATTATTTGGCACATGTAGCAGCCACATGCAGTGGATTCAGCGGGAAATGAAAACATACTTTCCAGACCACATGCAACCAAAGAGCAAAATAGGCACCAGTCTGTTGCTTTCTCCAACTTTAAGCATCTAATGTTTTTAGCTGTAGGGTGCAGTATCTAATCAATCTAGTCAGAGAAAAATGGCTCCATGCTTTTTAGGCCCATGTTTGAATGAAAAATCATAGTATTAAGCAGAACACCTTCTACCATTCCTAAAAATCATTTAGCTTTAAGTTAGCATTGTCCAGTCAGTGGTAGCAAAATTATAAGAAACCCTGACCTGTCTGGACAAGTGAAGACCTCGTCGTGACAAGTGAACTACTTAGAATTTTGAGCTTATTGTATAGCAGGCTCTACATGTTTAAAGAATATGAAATCCTCTTCTCTCTAAGAGGATTTAAAAATATATATTATTATTGGGTTTTTAGAGAGAGAGGAAGGAAGAGAAACATCTATGTGAGAGCGAAATATTGATTGGCCACCTCCTACATGCCCCCTACCAGGCATCGGGCCTGAAACCTGAGCATGGGTCTTGACCAGGAATCAAACCGGATGACACCCAATCAAGTGAGCCACACTGGCCAGGACTCTAAGAGGATTTTTTTGCAGGGGGAAAAAAACTTGAGTCACTCAAGATGCTGATTTCTGTCATTGAGGAAGTAGAAGGTGTAGGCGTTCGTCCTTCCTTTCACTCCCTGTGAGCAGGAGGGCAGTAGAGCAGCTCCGGGGCCGTAGGAGTGGAGGTGCCCCAGTCTTCTGCACCTGCACCTGGCCTTCTTCAGGCCACCAGCTCGTCGGGCTGGCTTTCTCTAGAATTCTAACTAGGAGCATGTGATTGGCTTTGTGAGAACCCAAACTGAAGCATATTCATCTTTTGTTTCTCTGGCACAGAAACTTGCCTTCATGGTGTCTCTAGGGTTGGTAACACATGACCATCTAGAAGGTAAGAGAAGATATTCATGATGTTGCCTTGTTTGTGGCCCAGAGCTTAGCTTTTGAAAGTGTTGTTTGATTGTATTGCTAGAATAGAAAACTGAAACACAAATAGAGTATCATTTAGTCAGCGTGGACTTTGTTTCCTTAAGAGTAAAAATGGCTAATGTTCAGCCCCTCCCCTTCTTATCACTGTATACCTACACTATTATCCTGGGCTAACACCCCAGTTACCTGAATTAAAGTAACTTCCATTCACTTAGGGGAACGTTTTATTTTTCTGACAGCGTGAAGTAGCAAATGCCCCTCTGAATTTGTCTATATTTTTCACTCTTCCTTATCAGAATCTTAAAAACAGTTAGAGTTACAAAGCTCTACCTGTCTTGGTTAGTTAATTAAAGAACAGTGAACTATGGTCACTCAGTCTCGGTCTAGATAAAGTTCATCCACACAAAATCACAGTGATCTAAAAATAAACCAGGACAGCCCGTTTGCAAGTGTGGTCTGCCATTGGGCGCTCAGTCACAGAGCCTGCACGGGGCAGCATGGTCTTGCTCTCCGAGAGCTGAGAGTAGACGGTCCCAGCAGGGTGCCTGCCTCTGCTGAGGCTGCAGAGAAACAGAGATCGGTCCCCATTTCTAACTCATCAAGGAAAAACAGTAATGAGAATAATGAAGTTAAGTTTTTGAGGTTTCCTGTACCTCTTCTCTAATTTAAACCTTTTGTTTTCCTAAGAAATCCAAAGCAAGAGGCAAGAGCGGAAAAGAAGAACAACAGCAAATCCAGTGTACAGTGGAGCGGTCTTTGAGCCGGAGGTACTCCTGGCCAGCCCGTGGCCCTTCCCCACTGTTCCACTTCAGCACCTCCCGTTTGAAAACTGCTTAAAAGCAGTACCCTGATTGTACTTGCCCAGCTTTGTGAAATGATGGATTTTTCTCTGGCTGATCCCATTATTTCTTTTTTATTATTCATTGCTTTCCCCTTAGTTTTTTCCTAAGTTTGAACAGATACAAACCTTCCTTAAAAATTCATCTCATCCTGGCTTCAACACAACTCTCATCTGAAGCAGAGGCAGACCTCTCTGGAATATATATAATAAAATATGTTAGCGCTGAGACCTTGGGGGGACTGGCACTAACTAGTTGGCATGTTGACAGGCATGCTGTGCCTGGTCTTTAGCTTTTGCCAGTAGAGTAGTAACCATGCTATTCAAGCAGTCACATTTTCTTCTTCAATCCTCAAAGCGTAAGAAGAGTGCAGTCACATACCTGAACAGTACAATGCATCCTGGGACTCGGAAGAGAGGTGAGTACCTTTTTATATTTCTCCCTTGCTGTTGCCTTTGCTTTCTGTGTTGTGTTTCTTCCCTCTCCCCTTGAAAATAGTTTTGTTGTTGTTATCCCTGAGAATGGGGGAAAAGAGAGTGAGATTTCCTATTCGAGTTCTGTATGCTTAATCAAAAGCTGCCTTTCCTGGGATTCCAGCAGAGCTGACTCAGGGGAATGGCTCCGTGCAGCATCTCTGCCCCAGCTTCAGGCCGCCTGTGAGTACAGCACAGTGAACAGAACACCATGTGAAAGGAAGCATTTTGGCAGCACTGAGCAGAACAGGGCACCGCTGTTGCCAAGGTGCTCTTAGTAGTGTCTAAGTCATCCTGCTGCTGGCGAGACTGGAGCATCACTCTTAAGTTTCTGTGAGCTGCAGACTTTCCAGGAAGGAGAGAGTAGCCACACTGAAAACTTAGAATCTATGAGAAGAAAAGGTCACTGTCAAACAGGCTGCCGAAAGCAGACACTCCTAAAGAGCGTCATCCTCATATTTTAGACCTCCCCAGGGCGGCGTTCCACCTCCTCCTCAGGGCAGAGGCAGCAGCAGCGGCAGCTCTCACTGAGCAGGTCTAAATAGGTCTTAATAGCTCAGAGTTTGAGCTCATAAACAAGGTTCTGAAATTGTTCTTTGATGTCAGTAATACATCCCAAGGTCCCTTTCTCCACATGATAATGTGTCCCTGAATTATAGTTCCAGGCTAGAAAGGTTGCAGAGTGAGTGGAGTAGCATACTAATTTTTGCGTATGCACACACAATCTCAGCTGCTGCAATCTTACGAGGTCATCGTGACCCTGTGTTTGCCTTAGGGAGGGCTGCAGCTATACCACTACCACCTCCACCACCAAAGAGAGAGCACGCCCACCCGCAGTGACCCGTTCTCATGTTGTATCTGCCCGTCCTTCAAGTGCTCAAAAATATTTAGATGAGAAACCCGAAGCCGTTGCTTCATATCAGTTCCTGGGCCACAATAATCAGTATCATGGGTTATTTTTTGTTGTTGTGTTTTTGGCAATTTTTAGTGACCTCAGACCCAGTTCTCAGAAAGGAACCCCTAGCCAGAAGCCACAGTTAATTGGCCTGCTGGTGGGCTGTCTCTGCTAAAAGGACAGGGGTTAAATGAGCCAGAAAGACCATGGCATCTCTTTCCAAGGTCAGAGGATGACAGCCTGCATTCACAGTGCCTAGGGTATGCCTTCTGTGGGTAAACAAAGGGCATTCATCTTCCTCTTCTCCTCGAAGCGCTCGGTGCCCCAGGAGAGACACACCAGCACAGCCTGTCTCTGTGCTGCAGACATTCCCAGTGCAACACAGATAGGGAATGTGTGTTATGTCTGACAGAATCAGGACTCCTGTGCGAATTTTGATATAAATTATAACTGTTGGCAAAGTCATGATTCTACGAACCATCACCAGTGCTCGAAGACAGTTGTGTGCTTCTCTGGCTCTTTTTTCTTCTGTGGTGTCCTAGGTGTACACTTTGCTCGCTCACAGCCCAGAAGCCATGACCCTGGCCTTAGAACACAGGACCTTGACTTAGACATATCAGGCAAGAGTGGTTGACCTGGACTTTCCACACCCATTAGGGATCATTTATGGAGCTTCTGTAGCCACGAGGTTGGACTCAGAATACGCTGGCTCATTAGGTCTCCCAGTTGGCAGTGTTGCTGATGACAGCCTCTCCTAAGTCTTTGGAACAACCCCAGTTCTTAGACACATAGTTCCCTGGAATGTGATAGAAAGTGGGGAGGACAGTCCTTGATCTGCTGGGGAGGACACCTGAGTCCAGACCTACTTAAATTCATGTTTAACCTCAGCACATTTTCTTAGCTCATAGGTTCCAGCTACTCCTGGAACACATCTCTCACTAGCTCTACCAGCAAGGGGTAAGAATAGTTACCTTGAATTTTATCTCCTTGCTTCACCTTTCTCCACCCTTACAGGCAACAAAATGACCAAAGTGTAGGCAGGAGAGAAAGGGAAAGGCAGAAATCCTAAATAAATGCATTTGTTGGAACAGAGAATCATTAATATTATTTTAAGAATGATGGTTGCTAAGAAGCATTAGAGAACAATATGCAGAATATATGGGAAAAGAAAGTAAATTTTTATTCCTGGCTTTGGTTCCCAGTGAGCTTTGGTTCTCGCATGAGAAATCTCAAATTGTAACAGTCCAGGAATGTCACTGTTACCTTGCCTTAGGCGAGGCTCTTGAACATGACCCAGCACCTCCTGTCACTCTCCAAGTTCTCTCTTACCCTCCCTTCTTTGGAGACTCAGGCAGTTGTTTCTAATGACATTTAAATCTTTGCTTCTCTTCCTCTCTTTGGGACTGTTGTATTAACCTTCTGTCTGCTACCTCACTTCCTTTTCCATGCTAGCCAATGAGGAACACTGGCCAAAGGTATGTAAGATCATTTTCCCCCTTTCTTTCCCTCCCCCTTTTCCCCTTTTGTTCCCTTCTCTTGGTATATAGGTCGTCCTCCAAAATACAATGCAGTGCTGGGGTTTGGAGCCCTTACCCCAACATCCCCCCCATCCAGTCATCCTGACTCCCCTGAAAATGAAAAGACAGAGACCACATTCACTTTCCCTGCACCTGTTCAGCCTGTGTCCCTGCCCAGCCCCACCTCCACAGACGTAAGTAACATGGGAAAAGCTCCCTGTCTCTCTGAGAGCTTCAATCGGGGAAACGTTGTCCTGTGTTGTCTCCTCACCATCTGAATCTCCTTCACTGACCTGGAACATAGTGGTCCCTACAGGACACTGTGCCAGGGAGGCAGCTCTCTGCTGGGGCCCCAGGTCCTGCTGTGTCCTTGGACTCATGCGAAATACCACACCAGGAGGCTCAGTAGAGTTTCTGGAGTCTGGATTCGATGTTGCCGTGAATGATCTCAGGCAGGGGGATGTGGTGGGAAGCTAGCCCATGTCACTAAAAGGTGTGCAGGTTTCTGTCGTCACTGTTTTGGAGGTGGGGACGATGAACAAGGTGTATGTTCCCCTAGCACTTGTTTCCTGCGTCGAGGGGAATCCAAGAAGTGGGAAACTCTTCTGTAAAGCAGCTGTATTCGGCAGAGTTGGTTAGAAACAGGTCCCAGAAAAAGTGTTGAGTGCTCAGTAGTCCTTCACCCAGAAACTGCAGGAGTGTACCCAGGGCCCTGAGTTTTTTTTGTGTGCTAGTCAGTTATTTTATTGAAAATGAAAATTTTAAATATAAATAATATCCCATTAGGCTTACACTGTGCACTGGTTATTGAATAAAATGATTAAGAATTGTGCTTAATTTAAATCATACAGACTAGTATTTGATTTCTAGCTCTGTCTGTAGAAACTGTGATGTTGAGCAATTCACTTTTCTGGGCCTTAGCTTTTCCAATCTGTAAAACAGTCATTAACTGTTCCCTGAGGTTGAGGACAAGTTCAAGAATGTCCTAAAGGGCTACTAAACCCTATGCAAACTATCACAGTAACAATACTGTTTAGTATTCTAGAGCACTCTAGCATGAAAGATTTTCCATGAGTATTCTAGACGACTTAGAAAATGTGTCAGCAATGCAGATTCCCCAGGGTAAAGACCTGGGTCAGGAAAAAGGGTTGAGTTGTTGTACAGGTCCTCATATTAGCTTCTCATAGTTTCAGCTCTGCAGTTCTAAAACATCTTGTAATTGGTCATCTCTTTATTGTAACTTTTTTAGGGATCAGAGTGGGGCAAAAATGCAAAAAAAAAAAAAAAAAAAAAATCAGAATAGAGATGTAGTTTTCTACCATTTTCAGTTTTTCAACTTCAGAATTTTGCCCAGGGCTGCTCAGACAGTAAGAAGAATCTAAAGAATGAATAGTGCCTTAAGTTTTTAAATGAGCATTTACAAAGTAGTGAATTCACTCAACACTTATTGAATGCTGCTCTGCTGAGCAAGCAAGCAAGCACTGTTCTTGAGGCTGGGGACAGAACATGGAACAAAACCAGCTGCCTGCCCTGAGGAGCTCATAGTGCATGGCAAGAAGCAGGTGGTAAGCAGATGAACATATAATGTCAGGGAGTGATAAGTGCTGTGAAAAAAACGGGACCGATCAGGAACACGAGTATGGCAGGAGGTTCTCTTTATGAGGAGTGCCGAGAGAAAGCCTCTCGGATGGGGAGGGGGGCACACGCGAGAGCAGCAACACAGAAGCCCTGCGGTAGACGTGTGCCCCGTGGAAGAGGCCGCGGCAGCTGGGCCGTGAGGATGTAGTTGGTGGGAGAGGTGACGGTCGGTGGTGCAGGGCCTCGTGGCTTTTACTCCAGTGAAATAGACCACTAGAGGACTTTGAGTAAAAGTGTGATACGATTTTTTAACTTTTTATTTTGAAAAATTTCAAAGCTACAGAAAAGTTTCAGTAACAATACATGGAACACATGTATGCCCTTCACCTAAATTGACCAGTTGTTACCATTTGCCACATATGTGTCTCTCTTCTACACACACACACACACACACACACACTTTTTAAAAACTTGTTACCTGAGGATATGTTTTTTTAGAGAGAGGAAGGGGGAAAAAGAGAGAGAGAAATGTGAGAGAGAAACATTGATTGGTTGACTCCAGTATGCACCCCAACCGGGGACTGAACCCGCAACCTAGGTATGTGCCCTGACCAGGAATTGAACCCACAACCTTTTGTTGTACTGGACGATGCTCCAACCAACTAAGCCACCCAGCCAGGGCCACACTTTTTTTTCTGAACTAGTTAAGAAGAAATTGCAGACATCATGAATCTTCACACAAAATACTTCAGTTTATATCTCCGAAGAATAAAGATGTTCTCTGATATAGCCACAATACAGTTATCAAATTCAGGGAATTTAATATTGATACAATATTATTATGCAATTCATATTCAGCTTTCTCCTTTTGTCTCAATTATTGCCTTAGTGGCATTTAAAAAAATTTTTTTTGCTCCAGGATCCAGTTCAAGATCACTCTTGACATTTATTGTCTCTTTAGTCTCCTTACTCTGGAACAGCTTCTTGGCCTTTCTTTGTCTTTCATGGCATTGATATTTTTTAAAAGATAGGCCAGCTGCTATGTAGAGTGTCCCTCCATTTGGATAATCCAATGGTTTCCTCAAGAACAGATTTGAGGTATGCATTTTTTAGGAACACTAAATACGTCGTGGTGAATCCTTCTCGTGCATCACAGCAGGAGGTACATGTCATCAGTCTGTCCCGTTGCTGGTGATGTTAACTTCCATCTCTTAAAATCAATTCCATCAAATGTCTCCACTTGAAAAGTTGCCTATTTCCTTTGGTGGAGACAGCTCTAAGTCTGTGTAAATATCTAGTTCCTCAGCAAACTGTTGCCTGGTGGTTTTAGGATCCTTTGCTGGTTCTTGCCTGCATTTGTTATTTCAAGGTGTTTGCAAAATCGATTTGAATTTTAAAAGGATGCTGTGTGTGAAACATGGAGCAGAGGCGGTGGGAGGGTAGGATGGGAGCAGGGGGAGCGGTGAGGAGGGGCCCATACTAGCTCGGCCTCATAAGATGGTAGAAATGGAGCTGGAGAAAAGTGGTCAGTCTGCATCTGTTTTGAAAAGCCAGCAGGATTAGATAATGGGGTATGAGAAAAAGAACAGTCAAAGGTGAATCCAAAGATTTTGGCCCAAACAGCCAGAAGGCTGAAACTGTCAATGTATGGAGATGACAGGACGAGCAGGTTTATGAATCACAGAGCTTGTCTTTAGGATCACCTTCAGGTAAAATATTCCTTGAATTTGCAGGTTCTTAGTATTTGAAAGGTCTACCCCTCTCCAAAGCGCAAAAGAATACCATGTGCAGATCCTGAGTTAGAGTTCTGGAAACCACAAAGGAAGTGTCATCTTTGGAGGATCAGGTCATAGAGGAGCTCTCTTCTCTGACAGGCTTCCTTCCTCAATCGTAGTTGGAGGCTACAGACCCAGCCTTGCTCTCCATATTCAGCATTTTATCCAGCTTTCCTGACTTTTGGCATTAGTAATAGATTCAGGATTTCTGTCTGTCCTGTTAACTAGCACCAGGAGTCCCTGTTAGAAACCTTGTTAGGTGGTACCAAAGTTCGCAACTTTTTCCCAGTTAAAGCATTGCCAAGGGATTGTGGGCTCAGAGCTGCTTGGTAGGGCTGCCCCCACCCCTGGGTGGTGCACGGTGCTGGGGACAGATGATTCTATGGTTCTGCATGTGAGTCTCTTTCTTAAACAGTGGTGTTTTTATTTTTGTGATTTTTTTGGCTGAGGGGGTTTATAAAATGGTTTTCTTGAAAGGATCCTCTTAGATCTAATTACAAACTAAAAGCTTTTGTGTTAAAATACAAACACTGTTTTTTTAGAAATCTAAAGGTAAAAGGAAGCATTTCTGAAACCACTAAATATGTTGATAACTTCCTAGGTGAAACCTAGTGGAATGGTTTTTTTTAGAGATAATTGATTTCTACTTTTCCAGTATCTCAACAGTGGCAGTTATTGAAATCGACACACAGGGCTCTGTGCATTAGCTGCTGGGCGGTGTAAACCCCGATAACGTGAATTACGCAGTGGCAGTTGAGAGGCAGGCATTTCCTGGAGATCAATAACTGTCTGGAGGGACCTGGTTCTATAAGACACAACCGGGCACTATCCTCAGGATGCACCTTGTTGCCACTATCACTTTTATGAGAAGGGAAGATAAGTTGACATAGTTATACAAATGTTTTTAAGCAAATGATGAAGTTGCATTTAATACAATCGGGGTGTTTCTTTCTTTCTTTCTTTTTTTTATCCTCACCCAAGGATATATTTTTCTATTTATCTTCAGATAGAGTGGGAGGGAAGGAAAGGGAGAGAGAGAGAGAAACATCAGTGCGAGAGGGACACATCGACTGGTTGCCTCCCACACGACCCTGACCAGGGCCAGGGACAAACCACAACTGAGGTACGTGCCTTCGGCTGGAATCGAACCCATGACTCATTGGTCCGCTGGCCAACGCTGTGCCGCTGAGCCAAACCGGCCAGGGCCAATCAGGGTGTTTCTAAAAACCATCTGTCCTCAGCTCCGAGCACAAAATCATGGGTCAGCCATCTTCCAGCTTACTGTTTGATTTACGGTAATAATTTGGTCAGTCACCAAAGCCTAAGCTTATTGACCTGGTGCGGTGCAGCTGTGGGACCTCCTCTGTTCTGTTTAAGCAAAGAACCAACTCTGTGTGGATTAAATACATGTCTTACCCTTTCATATTCATTTCTGTGGGCAGTAGTTCTCACATACTGCCTGGGGTCCCTGAGACTCTTTCAGAGGGTCCTTAAAATCAGAACAATTCTCATGATAATGTTAAAACATTCTTTTCCAGTTTCATTCTCATTCTCTTAAGCGCAAACAGTGGAGCTTTCCAGACATTAGATGACATGAAGATGCCATCACTCTGATGGCTAATGGACAGTGTACCTGTATGTGCTGGGGTTTTAAATTTTTCAGTACACTGTTTTTATAACTTCCTGTGATTCTATAATTATTTCAAACCTTAAAAGTTTTAAAACTTCTAACACAGTAAATACCAGTATATCTAACTCCCATAAACAGAAGCTCTTTGAGGTCCTTCGTAATTTTAAGAGTATAAGGGGGTCCTGACACCAAAAAGGATTAAGAACTGCTGTTATGGACCATGTAAAGAGGAGAGAAGTTTTTTTTTCCTTTAGCAACTGGAAAGAAATTATTTCATTTATTTTATGTGCTCTCCACCTTCTACTTCTTGATGTTATTGCTGTCTCCTCATTCAGGAGCAAAGGGAAGTGAACAGAACTCTTTACCCAGCAAATCCCTCTGCGTAAAACATCCAGTTTGTCTCATGTGCTTCATCACTGCTAATTTTATATATGGTTCATGTAAAGCACTCTCTCTGAAACCCTAAATATTTACAAACTTCATAAAGATGCAGACTTACAGCACTAGGCTTAAAGTTTAAGAAAGACTAACTCTCTAGAGAGGAGCACTCCTCAGCCTGATTTTAAGAGTGAAAGAAGGTTAATCAGGGGATGCAGCCTTACCTCTCAGTGCCTGGAATTTGAACTGTCCGGCTGCATTCTTGTGCAGTATTTTTGCACATGTGCCAAGTATCTTTTTTACTGCCCAGAGGTAACCTTTTCTTGCTCAGAAAGGTTAAAATCCACCTACACTCTGATTATCTTACAACTTTTTCAGCGGGTTTTCTAGGCTGCTGGATACCCTGGTGAATTAGAGCAAGTCTCCTTTCCTAGAGAGAGAGGTGCGGTCTGGGAAGATGTGTTTCTTCAGCGGTGCAGGTTGAGGGGTCCTGCCATAGAAAGGAAGAATTGAGCATAGAAAGGAAGAATTGCTTCCTGTGCACAATTTCTGAATTAGGCCTTTTGGCAGAATGGTCTAGAAATCTAAAACAACAACGCACTGGAAGGGAAAGGGGTCTGGTCCATGCCGTGGCTCTCACCTCCGACTTCCCTGAGCCTTCCCTTCCCTGGTGCCTGCGTCAGCGGCACCGATCCTGTTGAGGGGAAGGTCAGGCCTTGACTTGCTGGAAAATACCCGTTAATACCTTTGTTTTTCAGTGTTTATCTCTCCACATTTTTAAAAATATATTTTTAATTGATTTTTTATTTTTATAGAGAGAAGAAGGGAGAGATAGAAACCTCAATGTGAGAAACATTGATCTGCTGCCTCCTGCACCACCCCCCCCCCCCCCCAGGATCCAGCCCACAACCCGGGCGTGTGCCCTGACTGGAAATCAAACCAGGACCTCTCAGTCCACGGGACAACGCTCAGTTCTCTGAGGCGTACCGTCTGGGCCTCCTCTTCACATTTTAAGTAGATGTGCATTTTTTCCTGACGGTGCCTCCTGTTCGGAGGGCTCCAGCAGACCTGCCTGAGGCAGACTGCACGGAGGGGCTCTCTTTTCTCACCTGGTGAGGTCTTCCACAGGGAATAGGATGGTTTTAAGAGAGAACATTGTCAGCTGTTGCTTTGGCTTTTAAATTCTTCTTGTTAGAAAGCTTGATTTAATGACTTTAATTGGCTCCTGACTTAATCTTTTCCCATTTGACGTTCACTTTGTTTTTTCTTCCTGATCAAGCAGAGTAGTGAAATTCCATTTCTTGTCTGTTGTCTTTCCCAATCCTTCTAAATTTCCTCCAAAAGTGATTGATAATGAGAATTATTTATACTATTGATCTTAGAACACTTTGATGAACGGATTTCAGTGTCTTCAAACTTTCTGATTTGAGAGTTAGACTCTACCGAAGTGTAATAAATGCTGGGCTATCACCTGTAAAGTTCATTTTGGCCTAGATGACTACAGAGCTTTCCTGGGAAGTCTGCTCTAAGAATGAGGACACAGCCTCTGCCCCCGGGACCTCGGCTGTGTGGGGCAGGTGGGGCTCGTGCCAGCAGGCCTTTCCTCGAATACCTTTGTCACATGTTAGAGGGGGCATAGCTGATTGTCCTGCGACATTTATATGTATCCAGAATGTGCCTGTGAACACTCACGTTTTACCTTTTTGTCCTTTTTCTTACCTTTCTTCTCAATTTCATAGGGTGATATCCATGAGGATTTTTGCAGCGTTTGCAGAAAAAGTGGTCAGTTGCTGATGTGTGACACGTGTTCCCGTGTGTATCATCTGGACTGCCTAGACCCTCCTCTGAAAACAATTCCCAAGGGCATGTGGATCTGTCCCAGATGTCAGGACCAGGTACTGTGGGGTCAGACAGGGGTTGGGGCAAGGAGGAGACAGACAGTGCCGTCAGGAGGACTTCCTTTCCCCTCTGGTCTGGGGGAAGGGCAGTCTCTTCCTTGTTCACAGCACAGTGCTCACCGCGCAGCATCCACACCTCAGGGTCTTCTGGCATGTTTGTGATGCGATCACTGTGTGTACAGGTGGAGAGACCCTAACTGCTTCCCTTTATTTGAAATGACCTATCTTCTCATTACTTTGCTTTTATTTATTTAAAGTTTTTTTCTCTATTGATTTCAGAGAGAAAGAGGGAGATAGATAGAAACATCGATGAGAGAGAACATCAATTGGCCGCCTCTTGCATTCCCCCCACTGGGGATCAGGCCCACAACCTGGGCATGTGCCCTGACAGGGAATCGAACTGACAGCCTCTTGGTGCATGGGTCGACATTCAACCACTGAGCCACACAGGCCAGGCTCTGCTTGGTTTCTGATTTCTTTTTCTCAACAATTCAAGTATCTTAATGTTTTTATTATCAGCAGTCTCAAATATTTTCTGGAAGTAGGCAAAGTATAAATAATAAATAGATAAGGTCAGTAGCTCAGCAGACATTGGGGTCCTGCTCAGTTCTTTGGAATCCTGATTTGAGAAAATTCTGTTTTTTCCCTTTCAACCTTGTTCCTCTTTCTACTTCTCCCTGATGTAGTTAATAGAGACAATTCTCTCTGTGTTCCCTCCCAGTCACAGCTTTGTGACCCTCTGATCATTGTCCACATGGGGTCTAGATTTTACTTTAGTATTCAGAGCTGATACTTAATTCCCTTGGTCAGGCTGTTTCGGAGGGACATAAAAGCTAACATTGGGAGAGGCAGCCCACGGCAGGTCAAGGATGAAACTGCCAGCGGTGGGGTGCAGACTCGCAGCTTATGCTGGGGTTCTGGCTGGGGAGTCGTTGGGGTCATGTGACACGTGTGAAAAGATAGGCATGCTCAGCCTCTTTCTGAGGCAGGGCTCGGGTAGCTTGGCTGCTTCTGCTTGGTACCTTGTTCTCTCAGGCTGCTGTCGGAACTGTCTAGTCCAGAAACAGACCAGTGTTCTGCAGCACTGCCGTCCCCGTCCTTCCTGGGCTTCTGCCTACCAGCAGCTGCAGACCCCTTGCTTGTAATCACATGGGGATATGTGTTCATACCTCCTTCTCAAGGTAAAACCCTAACAATCTTTTCAGATGCTAAAGAAGGAAGAAGCAATTCCGTGGCCTGGAACTTTAGCAATTGTTCATTCCTATATCGCGTACAAAGCAGGTAAAGAATCCCCACGCCCCCTTTTGTGAAATCTTCTCTAGTTTACAAAAGTACTGGAAGGAAGTATAGCTTTGTTTTCAACAGGAAAGTTGAAGTTAAAAATGAAAAGCTTTTAGTGAACGAAGTAGAAAGTTGCGTAGCACTTTCTTGGGGAGGAAGATTGAGAAGTAGGTCTTGTCCGTGTAAAGCCAGGCCCGGGCCACAGACAGTCCTCAGCACGGCTGTGATGGGAGGGGGTTCAGGGGCGGGTTCCGTGCATGGCTGTGGGCTCACTGGCTGTGGGCTCGGGGAGCTGTGGGGAATAGCTTCTTTGGCAGGCATTCTAAACACAGTGGCCTTTTCAAAGAATTTATTGTTAAAAACAGTTCCTTTTTTTTCCCCCAGCAAAAGAAGAAGAAAAACAGAAATTACTTAAATGGAGTTCAGATTTAAAACAGGAACGAGAACAATTAGAGCAGAAGGTGAAACAGCTCAGCAGTTCTATAAGTGTGAGTAAGCTCTTCAATGACACTTACCAAGGGACAGAGCTTTCCATGTGCAGCACAGCCGTGGGCCTCCCAGGGCTGGTCCCGATTCTTCAGCTTATCAACACAGCTAGCCGGGCCGGCGCAAGGTGTGCCTCCAGTTAGAGCTGGCCCTCAGGCACAGGTGGCCAGTTGGTGTATGGTGCCTTAACCAAGCTCTGGAACATCCTCTTGGTTTTGGTGTGAGAGAGAGGTTTTTAGTCTCCAGGCTGAAGAGGTAGATTAGTAGCTACAGCAGTGTAGCCACCACCATCATGTGTTCCTGAGCGTGTTTGGGCCTCATCTGACACTGGGCAGGCACAGACCAGGTCCCCACACATGAGACTTTCTAGTCGCCCAAGCTAGTGGGTCCATCCACATGGCCCTTCCCTCTCACCCTTTCTTCCACCCCAAGCGGTGTGCATTTCCAGGATTTTCCTGACCAGCCTGAGGAAGAGGGGTTTCTGGAGACAAGTGTGGAAGTAAATACTGCCCAGCCTGCCGTGTCTAGGTGGGAACGAGAGTTGTGCTCACAACAGAGATCAGAGGCTGCTCCCAATAGGAGCAAGTTCTTTTCCATTGAGTAGGTGCCCTTGTTGAGTGAGGTGGCTCAGCCCTCAGAGACACTGGTGGTGTCCTGGACTCGGTGACAGTTGAGCTGTCCCACTCACCTGCTTTCCCTCCCCACCCTACTGCCGTGGCATGCAGGTTTCACCTCCCTTTTCTGCCTAGAACAGAAGCCAACAGGTGTGAGAGGCTGAGGGCAAAAGACTACGAGTGGCCTAGCAGAGGGGTCTGTTGGCTCCAGTCATTCTCCTAACATCGCTGTCCCGCCCGGGCCCTGCCTCTAAATTCCTGCTGCCCGAGTGATCCTCGACAGGCCCTCCGGTTGAATCCACATACCCCTGGCTTGTTTTCTGCTCTGAAAAGCCCAACCTAGTCCTGAGTATGTTAGCACCCGTCAGCACAGTGGAAACATACCTGCCCAAACAAGCTTCAGCGCAGCTGTGGGAACTTTGTTTTTAAAATGACTTTTATTTCATAGTATTAGAGTGGTAGTTCACCTTTGGTTTAAAGTCCTAGTGTCAAGTAGAGTTGGCTTTTAAACCAGTCATTGCCCTCTCTCTCTTGACTCTGGGCCTGCTCCTGCCTTGGGTGGTAGCACCCACTCCAGTGTGGAGCAGAGCAGGTTCAGGGCTGCACACTAGCCAGTGAGGAATCTTTCACTTGGAGAGGCTGGCAGGCCTGTCGGTCAGCTGCAGGCTCAGTGCTGCCGCCCTTCTCGTTTGCTGCAGAAATGCATGGAAATGAAGAACACCATCCTGGCCCGGCAGAAGGAGATGCACAGCTCCCTGGAGAAGGTAAAGCAGCTGATCCGCCTCATCCACGGCATTGACCTCTCCAAACCCGTAGACTCTGAGGCCACTGTGGGGGCCATCTCCAATGGCCCGGACTGCACCCCCCCTGCCAATGCCGCCACCTCCACGCCGGCCCCCTCCCCCTCCTCTCAGAGCTGCACAGCGAACTGTAACCAGGGGGAAGAGACTAAATAACAGAGCCCTGCTAGGAGAAGCCACGGGATCCCGGCGGCAAGGAGAGCAAAACACTGAAGACTCTAGAAAAGCAAAGCCAGATTTCTTCTGGAAAGTACAGAATTCTTTTGGTTCTTTGGTTCCAGAGAGAGAGAAGATGCTTGTGCCAGGCGGCACCAGAGTTTGCCAATTGATCCTTCTTATTCTGTGTGTACATGCAAAGATTGGACCATGTTACATGAAATAGTGCCAGCTGGAGGTTCTTTGCCAGCACCATGCCAAGTGAAATAATATATTTACTCTCTCTATTATACACCAGTGTGTGCCTGCAGCAGCCTCCACAGCCACGATGGGTTTGTTTTTGTTTTGTTGGGTGGGGAGCAAGGACGGGCGGAGGGAGGAGAGCAGGTTTCAGATCCTTATTTGCCGAGCCGTTTGTTTAGGTAGAGAAGACAAGTCCAAAGAGTGTGTGGGCTTTTCCTGTTTCTAGTTCATTACTATAAAACCAAAAAAAAGGAAATCGAGATTTAACCAACCCCAGTGCCCAGAGGAGGGATGGGGAGGGGATGGGAGGGAGCCGGGGTGGGAAAAGTATATCAAATAAGCAGTATTTCCTATTGTCTGGGTGGGCCACGTTGTGCAGAGAGATGGACACAAGGACAGCCCCAGGTGCTTCTCCCGAGCACTCGCCGCCGCGGGCGCCCACCACTCCCCAGGTTCCTGCCCTGCTCTGGCAAGTTGGCATGCGTCCCGTGGATGATGGGCTCCTTCCCTCTCAGAACAAGCAGAGCCAGGCTCAGCTGGCCCTTGCCCAGGGCAGGGAAGGAGGGTGTGTGTGTCGAGGAAGGAAAAAAGGTGGATCAGTGATTTTACTTGAAAACAAGCTCCATCCCCTTTCTATATTTATAAGAAGATCCTGAGCGAAGCAGCACGCGACCCAGGTGTGTGTGAATTCAATGGAGACGTTTCTTTTCTTTAAATTTTTTTTTGTTCTTTTTTCTTTAAAAAGTTTTATTTTGTTGTTTATTTTACTTTTTTGGTAACAAAAACTAAAATAAGGAATAGAAAAGCTGTTTTTCAGGCTGACAGTCCAGTTAAGGGTAGTCGAGACCTTGCATGGTAGAGTAGGAATCATAGTGCAGTGAGGTCCAGTGAGTGTGTGCGTCCTGTGTCATCGTTCGGGGCACTGTTTTTTATGCAAGGGCAAAATCTTTGTATCTGGGGAAAACAACAACAACTTTTTTTTTAATTAAAAAAGAAAAATAAAAGATATTGAGGTCTTCCTAGTGTTACTTAAATTAAGATCAAGGTAAGAAACATTGTAAAAAAAAAATTACAAAAGTGCTATTTGTTTCCTAAAAACAGTGATTTCTATTAAAAAGGTGTCAGAACTGGAGAAAATGCTGTGTAGTTATAATTTTTTAGCACAGAACCTGCTGATCATGATGACATTTTGCTGTGTTTGTGTCTCAAGACTGGTGGGCTAGTCTCCACGATTTCTGACCTGGGACGGCTGCGGGCCTGCCGGGCAGGGTGCCGGTGCCGGTGCCGGTGCCGGCGCCGGGCAGGGGCGGGCTGGGCTCTCCTACCATCCCCCTCTCAGAACAGACTGCCCTCTCTTCTGGTGCAAGGGTCTGGGCTCCTACTTTTGAAGTCCAAATGGAGTGTGGATGGTATCGGGGCCCCGCCCACTCTCCCCACAGATTTTGTTAGAGCAGAAGGCTGGTGCCTGAGTAAGATCCCTTCCTTTGGTGCTGCTCTTGGTCTTTCAGCCACCAGCATTCCGAGTGCCTGGGGGACACCCTGGAAGGAAGTGGCCAGTGAGGCTCACTGTACCCATGCACCTCGACCTTTTGGGAGGGTGCAGGGGGCAGGCTGGCTGTATCAGCCCTTGGTGCTTAGAAAGAACAAAGGAATGAGATTTCTTAAGGTTACGTGGTGTTTCTGAGACAGAGAGCCCCAGGGTGGCCTTTGTGTCTGTCTTGGCTTTGAAGAGAGGTCCGAATTTCCAGCTCCTTTCTCTGCCTGTTGGCTCTAGGCACCGGAGATGGAGTTTACTCCACTTTGCCCACCCACACGCTTCCTGGGTGACCTTTGGCTAGAATCTCTATGCGTACCTTGGCTTGGTTGGTCTCCTTCTTTTACAAAACCAGGGTTCTGAAAGGCTCAGACCATTTCTATCATCTTGCCTTGTGGGAAATAAATGTTGTCAGGTGTGTGCTCCCGCTGGAGTCCTTGCCCGCTGTGCACCTGGCCAGCAGGAGGGAGGCAGAGGCTGTGCACCCCAAGCCCTCCCAGAGCATCTCTTCTGCACCCCACGCCTCATAATGGCCAGAGTCTAGGAGGGGCAGAAAGGTCCAATAGTTTCTCCCTCACTCAGTTAGACCCAGAGGACAAGATGGATCCTGAAAGCAAATGCAACAGAGAGACACTTCTTAGGTGAAATGTGTCTCACCTCTACCAGCGATTTTCATTCATCTTCCCAGGGAGGATTCAGAGTGGCTGGCCTCGGAGGCCCAGAGAGGGTGCCTGAGGGGACAGACAGGAGCTCCCTTTGCTCATGCAGAAACCAAGGTGCTATGTCTAGTCAGGGAGCTTTGGAAATGCCTGGACTCGTTGGAGGAATAGTTGGCAGAGGCTCAGAGCCCAGCGCCAGGCTGTAGGCCCTGTCTCAGAGCTCTGCCGTTCGACTGGTCTGGGCCCAGAGACTGGGGTTGCTACACTATCTTCCTTCTTGAAAGAAGTCAGAAACCATCATCACTAGAGGCCTTGGCTCAGAGAGGAGCTGCCTGAGGATTCTCAGGGGTAGGGCAGGGCTAGGAATTGACCAGTGTTTTGCCTGCTGCTGTAAGCAGTTCCACTCCGACTGTGCCTAGGGTTGGGGTATAGATTCTTCCTGAAGTTCAGATAGGAGCCATTTGGGGTACAGCTAGTATAGAGTACAAAAGTGCAACCCTGCCCCAGACCCACATTCTAGACTCAAATTTCAAAACACCCCTTACTGCAAGGAAAAGGCCCTAGTCACCCAGTCTCCTTTTCCTTCATGAGAAGACTCTCTGTCCCCCAGGTCTGTGGGTGCCTATGACCACCTGAGACACATACTCATGACTGCCCCACCCAAACAACCTCCCCCTCCTTCCTCCTCCCCTTCTTTCCCCACACCTCAGTTTAGCAGCTGACAGATACGTCTGAGACCAGCTGGCTTTGTAGTCACTTCACAGGCCAGGGATCTGCTGGCCTGGGACCAGGAAGCCACCCACCTGGCCCCTGATGGTGGGCCGTTGTCAGTCCTGGCTCCAGCGCTGTGCCCGGAGGCAGTGAGGCCCGTCGCTGTCATCTTCCCGCCCAGCTCACTGTCTTGCCGTTGTGGCCTGCAGGTCCTTTTTCTCTCATGAATCCTGCCTGGTCTTGTCTCACCTCTGCTGAGTTCATCCAGAGTCCCACTTTCTTCCTTATCAAGCCCTTTGGGGCAAACCAACTGGTTGTGCCTGGCAGGGCGACCTCTGTGGGGCCTGCACATGGCCAGGGCAGCCTCCAGCTAGCACCACCTGAGTGCCCGTTTCCCCCAGGACTGCCTCTGCCCTGCTGCTTGGCTGGCCTCTCCCAGGAGGGTGCCGCGTCCCCCACTCCCGTCTTCTGTAGTCGCCTCTCCGCCATCCTCTCCGCCATCCATCGCAGATACTTTCTCTCTTGGGTCCTGCAGGGCCTCCCAACTCACAACACACCCTCGTGGTTTCCTCCCTTCACTCCCTGTTAGGGTGTGGTCTTTCTTATTTCTCCAAAGGGCTTATTAGGAGACTTTTACCCCAGGGGCGAAGGCTCTTAAGGTGGTAAGATGGCTGGTGGCTCAGGAACACTTTCCAGGCCTGGTTTTCCCAGATTCCATGGCCTCTGTTGGAGGCAACCTTGCTCTGTGTACATGACTGTGGGCCTCAGCCCCAGCCCCACCCCTCAGCTGGGCACTGTTGGCAGGAAACAGGAGGCCCATTCTCACCCTAACTTACAGCCATCCTCAGTGTCTGCTCCTCACCAAGGGACGGGATGGCCCCTGAGAAGATGACTGACCCTCCCACAGATGTGAAGGGGAGGAAGCTGGGAGTTGCCCCTGCAGAGAACTGGGCTCTGTGGAACTCTAAAAAATAGCCCTTCTCAAGGGAGAGCAGGGTTCGCAAATCCCATTGGCTCCCCCTTTCTACAAGGCCCTTCTTGAACCCTGAGGACTCCACTGTCCCCCACAGCAGCCTTTGGCCCCTGCCCCCCATCCCATGTCATTGGGTCCTCAGCCCAGGGTAAGCTGCAGCCAGGCAGGACAGGACAGGCAGCCAGAGGTCAGCAAGCTCTAAGCAGAAAAGAGCCAGCCAGCCGCCAACCTGTCTTTTGTCCACGCCCTTTGTGATTTCAGTCTTGGTAGAACTTGTATTTGGAGTTTTGTGCTTCAAAGTTTTTGTTTTTGTTTGTTTGATTTTTGTTTTGAGGGGGTGGGGGGGATACAGAGCAGCTGATCAATTTGTATTTATTTATTTTAACATTTTACTAAATAAAGCCAAATAAAGTCTCTCAGTCTCATGGTGTTGGGTTTGGGGCCAGGGAGGGTGGGCAGACACTCCAGTCCCAGCCTCTAGAGGGCCCAGGTCCTCCTGGGACTCCAGCAAGACTCAGGACCTCCCAGGCACCTCCCTGGGCTCATGGATGCCCTCATGCCCCAAACCAAGAACATGAAACAGCTTTTCAAACTTTAATTATGAAAAAGGGATGTATAGGTGAGGATGGGGGGACCGGGAACCAGCCCCAAACCAGCTGGGGCAGAGGAGACTACACCCAGCATAGAACAGCAGCAAAGGGAGACCCCCAGGCCTCACTGCGGAGGCTCCACTGCAGCCCTTCCCACAGAGACCTTAAATAATTTAAATAATGGAGTGTGTGAGATCCCGGGGGGGGGGGGGGCAACAGTAGGCCACCCAGGCCCAGCCTTGGGAGGTCAGGGGCCTCAAGGCTGCTGCAGGGCAGTGAGGTATTTGAGGGCAGCAGCCCCATAGTGGCGGGACAAGTCCTGGTGGAACTCGTCCTGGAGGGCCTGCAGGCAGTCGTGATAGGTGGTGCTAGAGCGGAAGCGGGAGCTGTCAAGGCTTGGGGTGTGCGGCAGGTGGATGGTGAAGGCCTCTGGCAGCACCAGGAGCTCATATCCCTGCAGGGGTAGGACAGACCAATGGTCAGTGCCTGGGCTGGGGGACGGGGAGCAAGCAGGCTTATCCAATAGCTTCTTCTAAGAGCCAAAGCCAGGCCAAAGGGCAGATGATTTCAGTTCTACGGAAGGGTGGGACTTCTAATAGTGCTGCCTAATGGTGCAGTGCACCACACTGAGACATAATGAGCTCCCTGGGCCTGGAGATATTCAAACAGAAGCTGGAGGCTTCAAGGGGCCCCCTCACCTGTGCATCCAGCTCCACAATGTGGGCCACCTTGTTCCAGCCAAAGCCCACAAAGCGGGGGTCATAGCGGGGACAGTCACGGGGCACCACCACGTAGGGCTCGTAGTTGGCGGCCCATTGCACACGGTATGGGGCCTGAGCCTCCCGCCAGCGGGCGTAGTCTGTGGGCGCTTGACCCTGGGGCCACTCGTGGTACCTGTGGAACAGAACAAGGCAGGGAGCCAGGCTGAGGCGAGGTGGGTGGTGGGGGCCAGTGTGGGGAACAGGGACAGAGCAGTGGCCTCTCCTACCTGAAGGTGTAGAGAGAGCCAGCGTCCAGCAAGGCCAGCAGTTCCGCCTTAGAACTGGGGAAGCTGAACCGGTAGTGCAGGGTTTCGAATGCTGGCACCACCAGGGCTGCCTTCCGCCTGCTACCCAGCTCCAGCTGCTCGATGGAGGCCCTGAGGAGGGAGCACCGTGAACAGAGGGGGAAGGCTCTGCCCCCGCACTGGACCTAGTGATTCTCTTGCTTTATTAGCCATAGGACCCAACTTTCAACAGCTGGCTCACCCTGACGCCGATCAGAACGCAGACATGAGCAGAGCTGCTGTGGGAAGCAAGCCCCAGCCCCCACCCCGCCCCAGCCTCTCCCATGGCAGCCCAGAGAAGCAGTGTGGCCCCCACCCTAACACAAACTCATTCTACACAGAACACGGAGGCCCAGAAGGGAGCAGGGACACCCCTAGGGTACTGCAGGTGCCCCAACCCTGCCCACACCATCCACATCCCGTTCCTCTCCCGCCCGCCCACCTGAGGTAGTCGTAGAGGGAGTAGGCAGGCAGGAAGTCAACGTCGCTGAGGAAGACGTAAGGCGTGAGGGCCTGGGCCAAGGCCACGTTGCGAACCTGGTTGATGGGGTAGAGGGGACCCTCACGGTACACCACGTGGTAGGCCACATCCTGCCGGGCAGAGAGGACCGCCGAGGTCTCGACGAAATGCAGGAACTGCTGGGCCTCTGCGTCTGTCAGATACAAGGCCAGGCTCATGGGGCCCGGCCAGTGCCTGCACAGGGCTTCCAGCATCTGCAGCCTGGGGTGAGGGTGGTGGTCAGCCCAGGGATGGCTGGAATAACTCCCAGGTTAGCTGCTGTGGACACCCCCTCAAATGACTTACTGAGCACCTTCCAAGCACTTTTTGAGCTCTTATTTAATCTTCACAACTACCCCAAACGGAAGGCCAGATATTAAGACCTGCCCACGGCAAGTTGTGGGACAACTATGGAGGGGTATTCACTATGTGAATGATCCCCAAAGCCCGTGCTCCCTCCACCACATCCAGTGCCTCCAACTTCTGGAACTCCTCAAGCATCGGGCAGAGAGCTCTTCCTTCTACCAAATGCCACCTGCCTCTCAAAATCCCCAGTCTCAGCCCATGCCATGCTCTCTGGGGCTGCCTCCAGCACCCTCACCTGTCCATGGAGAGCTGGGCCACAAGGGTGACATCGTTGGGCCGGGAGGGCGGTGGCTCATGGGGCAGGAAAGTGAGGTGCACACGGGGCACAGTGAGTTGCTGCAGCCGGAACTCAAAGCAGGCGTCTCCCGCGTTGAGCTGTGCCACGGCCTGCTGCAACTGAGGGGCAGAAGGACGAGGGCTGGGGCAGGAGGACAAGTCTCCAGACCACGCTGGGTCCCACCAGAGCAGAGAGGGACCGCACCAAGGCAGGGGAAGGCAGCTCCCTCTCACCTGCTCAGCCTCAGGTGGGGGCGGGCTGGGGCACCCGAAGAGCTCTCTCCGAAGCAGGTTCCCATTGTACTCCAGGAAGGTCAGGTAGTGGTTGCGGAAGAATTCCACGTGTTTATTCTTCACGCGCAGCTTCTTTGGTGAGTTCCAGTGGATCACCTGGGACCCGGGAGGGTGTCAGTAGGGGGATTGGGAGCAGGAGTCCCCACCCTGGCCCACTAACACCACTCAGCTCCCCACCCCAATTAACCTTGATGTCAGCCACCTCCAAGTAACAGCGCTCGGCCAGCGTGTGGTCGGACAGCTGCACATTCCAGACGCAGGGCAGGGGCTGCACCAGCGCCGGGTGCCCCTTGATTACAGCATTGAAGATGTCCTGGGCAGAGACAGCCGTCTCACCTTGGCCCTCCCTGAGCCTGCCCCTGAGCCTGCCCCACCCCCTCAAGGACTCCCCGGACCTGGTCAGCCAGCGAGGTGGCAGGCAGGGTGCGGAGCTCCTGTGCAGCCGTCAGCTTCCACATCTGCTCCCAGCCAGCCTGCCGAAGCCGGTCCAGCCGCAGGAGGATCACACCTGCCCGCGGGGAGAAGACGTCATCCCCACATGGGACAACCCAGCTCCTGGGGCCAGGGGTCACGAAGGTGTCTTCTGAATGTTTATTTTTTGACTTATTGGTATTTTCTGTCAGACATGAGCATGGACAACCTCTGTAAACAATCCTCTTGGAGTGAGGGGTCACTGCGCAGCTTACAGAGCACGGCCGCAGCCATCTTCCCATACTCACGGACCTGGGGCTCGGAAAATCCCCATTTGATGGGTGAGAAAACTGAGGCACGGGGAGACCAGTGACTTGACCCAGCACGTACAGCCAAGGTTGGAACTGTTTCCTGGCTCTGCTCCCAGTCTTCTTTCCACAGCACTCTTCTTCCCGGGAGGCTTCCTAGCACTCTGTGCCCTGCCCAGTCCCTGGGGCCCAAGGACCAGTGACCACCCCACCACCACCACTGGCCCCACCTGTGTTAAATCCCCGGCCCAAGGCAGGCCAGGGCTTGTGGTTCCTCCAGAGGTTGCCCAGGTACCAGTCGCTCTGGTTCTCCACGAGGCCGATCACTTGCTCGTCTGGGAGGGGAGGGCATGAGGGAGCTGCCTGAGGCTGACACAGGACCTTGGCTCAGGCTAGGCCACAGAGGGGCTTGGACAGGCCAAGGAGGAGGGTTGGCTGGGCAAGGTCCAGGCCTCTCACCAGAAAAGTGAGCAAAGAGTGCCCAGAGCTCTGCGATGTCAGAGGCGAAGGTGACATCTGTGTCTAGGACAACAACACGAGCTAGGGCAGGAGGCAGGACTCCAGGCAGCACCAGCTTCATTAGCCCGTAGAGGCCAGAGTAGTGCTTGTTGGGGACCCAGGAGACCTTGGGCTGTGGGTGAGAAGGACAGGGCATGAGCCTCGCAGAGAGGAGACTGAGTCCAGAACATACTCAGGGTGACACAGAGAGAAGAGGGGAGCCCCCGGAGGAGTGAAGGATTTGAGCTTCAGTCGGTGCCTGGGAGGAAGGAGAGGGCTGGGCAGGCTGGGAGGAGCGCAGAGGGGCCAGGGCTCCTGCCTTGAGCTCATCAGCGTCATGGAAGCTGACCCAGACAGCCGGCACCATCCATGTGTGGAAGAGCGTCTCCAGAATGTTCTTGGCCACGGTATCAGTCACCAAGTGGAGGTGCAGTGGGTTTTTCCTTTGGGAGGGACAGGGGGAGGAAAGCTGGTAGGGCCCAGAAGGAACCACATGGGACAAGCCCCACCCCAAGAGGCTCAGAAGTACAAACACCAACTTTGTGCTGCTCAAGATTTTGTTCTGTTCCCCACTCCTGACACCCCCATCCTCAACACCTGGTGTACCTGTAGAAGAGCATGGACTTCACGAGGGTGACGACATCTCGGCTGCTGTTATGTCCTGCGCACACAATTGCCACATGCAAGAGCTGGGGGAGAGACACGAGGTTGACAGCAGCCCCTTCTGCACTAGATGGTGAGGACCCATGGTTGGGGTGGCCTGGCCTAGGACAGTGTGGCCACACCAGGCATCTGAACTAGGGAAGACTCCCCCCCACACACAACCCCATCATTTCACAGGTAGGGAAACAGGGAGACCGGTAAGGGGAGGCGTGAACGCGAGGCGCCCCCAGCTGACTGGTCACAACGCCAGGTGTTGTGACTCCCACAGGTGCCCAGGTGTCGGGCTGAGGACGCGGCGCCTCCCGCTTTCCCTCCACCTGGGGCCGCGCACACCTACCTCGCACTTGGCAGGTAGGGGCCGCAACAGGACGCAGTCCGAGCGGTTGTGGCCCCGGTGGTCCGTCTGTGGGTCTCGGTCGCGGGCAGCAGCCTCCCGCGGCCGCCCGTCTTGGGGGATACGTGGCGTCAGCGCACAGGGGAAGGATCCCGGGCCGCCCCGCTCGCGGCGCTCACACTCCAGGTCCCCGCCGAACAGCAAGAATCCGATCAGAAGCAGCAGCAGCAGCAGCGCGGCGGCCCCCAGCGCCCGGGGGCGCCCTCGGGGCAGCATGGCCGTCTGCGGGGCACTCAGGGCGGGGCGCGACCCCAGGCTGTGGGCTCCATCGCGGGCCCTACGGATCCGGGAGGGAGAGAAGAGGGCTGGCCTTGGGCGGCGGGGCCCGACGGCCGCCCAGTTCCCTCCCGCACTGAGGAGCCACCTCACCTACTCCAGCGGTTTAGGGACTGGGTCCTTCCTCAACCAGAAGCCAGCCAGGGTGCGGGCGGGGGGGAGGGGGCCAAGGCGCAGGCCAGGCCCGTCTGAGCAGGATCCAGCCCCGCCCCCAACCTGGGTTCAGGTTTCACCTCCGCATGGCTGATTCCGAAGGGGCGGGGAGACCCCAAGGGGCCTGGCTCCACCCCTGCCCCGGCACCTGACCGCCCCAGCTCCCACCCAGCGGGGAGGAACCCATGAAACACCTCGGATGACTGGAGGAAGGGGGACCACCACCCGGGAAGGCCCAGTCTCTGGTACCTGCTCTGAGCCCATCCCCCTCTTGGCTGCTCTGGGGCCCCGTCCCCTCCCAACAACCTCGGTCTGGAGGAGGGGCCGTGACACCCGCCCGGATGAAAGGGACTGCCTAAGTAAGGGGGCTAGAATGCTGGCTCCGGGGGTCGGGGGCAGCTGCTCTGGGGACAGGAGGCGGGGCCCGCCGAGACGTGCCCTGGAGCCTCGGAGCACCTGAGCCCACCTTTCATCCCTGATCTCCTATCTGCTCCACCCCCCACTCTCCACCCCTACTCTCCTGCTCAGTACAGGTGACCTGGAGAGGCCTGGCCTGGCCTGGCCCGGAGGGGGCTGGGACAAACGGCCTCCTGTTTACCTCTTGCCCAGGAACTGGCGAGAGACCTCACTGACACAGGGCCTAGGCTGCCTGCACAGGGCCTGGGACCCGAGACACTTGCCTAGACTGTGGAGATGGTGTCCAGCCCCAGCCTAGATCTCTTCCTCCACTCCCCAACCCCTGCACCCCACTGCAAGCACCAGCCTGGTTTCTGCCCTGGAGGAGATGGTGGGCACTAAGGACCGTGAATGACAGCCACCGTTGATTGACCGTATATACTCCATGCCAGGCCTTGTGCTGTGGATTACAGCTAACCCTCAATTCAGTCCTGTGACACAGGCATTATCCTCCCCTACCCACCCACACCCCTAGGATAATGGAATTAGCACACTCTGGGGCTTCTTCCCCAGGCTCTACCCTGCAGGCAGTTTCCTGCTGCTCCTCCCTAAGGGTTTCCTGCCCCAGGACTTGCCCTTGAGGTTCCTCCTGCCTGGATTCTGCCAGACTCTCTGCTCCTCCTCCCACATCCTAGATTTCTTTTCTTCCTAGCACCTTGTTAACTTGTTGATAACATGTCTCCCTCATAGCAGGTGGCTGCTCATTGGACTGGGTTCCCAGCACCCAAGCAGGGCCTGGCACATACCAGGTGCTCAGTAAGTTTGTGCTGAAAGTGAATGGGACTCACTGGGCCTCACCCTAACCTGGAAGGGGGCTCAGGCTGGGTCTTTTAGCCCAATGTCCAGCTATAAAAATTGAGGGCCTGAGAGGTCCCCAAGCTTCCAAAAAGCTGTGGCAAAGCACCCCAGCCTGAGACCCTCAAGTCTCCTCTGAGAGACCAGGATGCCTTTCTCCGGGAGGTGGAGGTCTGCAAGGAAGGTTGCTCTTTGGGCCTTTGGAGGCCAGGAGCAATGGTTGTCATGGAGACTGATGGCAGCTCCTTGTATATCTGGGAATTGAGAAATGAGGGGATGCAGGGGCCACCCAAGCATCCAGAGCAGCGGTTCTCAACCTGTGGGTTGCGACCCCTTTGGGAGTCGAACGACCCTTTCATATGGGTCGCCTAAGACACAACGGTTGCAAAATTAGTTATGAAGTAGCAATGAAAATAATTTTATGGTTGGGGGTCACCACAACATGAGGAACTGTATTAAAGGGTCATGGCATTAGGAAGGTTGAGAACCACTGATCCAGAACTTTGAGTTTCCAGCCCCCTTGATCCTCATCTCTAGCCTGAAACTGGGGTGGGGTTGGGTGAATCTCTCTGCAAGTCTCTCAACAGAGACTGTCTGTGGGGGTTAAATGTGGGGGAGCAGGTAGAGCACACAGTCAGAGCCTGGCAAGGGAGCTTATGGGGGGAGCCGGGTCCGCAAAGGGACTGCGGTCGCTCACAGTGCTGGTCCTACCCTTTGCTCAACCTTACCATTCAGGAGAAATTGAGGTGCTGAGATGCCGGTTGGGCCTCCAAGAGGTTCTTCTGGGGTATGGAGGGGAAAGGGAGGCTGGTATGAGCATATAAAGGGTGCTGGTCTTCTAGGGCTGAGGCCTGGGTTGGCCTAGCTCTGTCCAAGACTTTGCTGTGTGACCTTGAACCATCAGGCCTGCTCTCTGGGCCTCAGTGTCTTCATCTGTACCTGTTGGACTAGCCTAGCTCTCTTCCCCCGTGGCTCAGGGCAGAGTTAAGGAGGGAGACCCGGCCTGACTTGCCCAGAGACCCTTCCAACCCAGCAAGGTGACTAAATCTAGGCAGGGGCCCAGTAGGGAGGAACTACCCTGGGCACCTCCTGTACATGGCCACTCTTTGTCTTTGGGACCTAATCAAGCCCAGAATCTGGAGAGGAAATTTAGGCAGCCTTCCTTTCCTTCAGCCTAGCTGGGCCCATGATCCCCTCCCAGTCCTGAAGGGAGGCAAGAGAAACAGGCTCAAGCCCAAGAACCCCTCATATTCTGTTGGGAAGAGGCTGCTCCTCTGTTCACCATGTTTCTCTCCTTTCCGGAAGCACAGGATCACCAACCCTGGGACTGTCAAAGAAACCTCACACGCTCCCTCCTGACTCTTCCACAGCTGCAGAGGGAGGGAGTAAAGATGTACCCACTGGTGAGGTCTGGGGGGAAAGTTAATTAAGATGGTGAGGTGTAGGGAGGAAGGGAGAAAGGGCCCTACACCGAATGTCCTGAGCCCTGGTCTTAATTTAATCCCAGTTGCTAACTTGACTCATGACCAAATGGCCTCAAACTGTCACTGCTCTTGCTGGGCTGTGGGAGGAGAGACCTGCATTGTTGTCCTTTTGGCCAGTGACCTGCTGTGTGACCTGAGACAAGTCCTTTCCCCTCCTTAGGCCTCGTATTCCCCATTTGTAGAAAGGAGTTCCTAGCAACGTGGCAAGGTTGCTAAGAAGAGTTGAGTATGAGTGAGCCTGACATCCAGAGGTGGTAAGAAATGGTGCTGGTGCCTAGCCACACCTCCTGTGTTCTCCAAGGCCTTTGCCTCTCAGGAGGGCCCTGGACACTTCTCCTCGGGTCTTCATTTCTTGGCCAGAGTAGGGAGGGCAGCTGTGATTCTCCACCGGATATAAAAGAAAAGTGTGCTGGGGAGAAGGCTCCGGGGAGAGAGAGCAAGGAGAGGCTGTGACTTCCTGCTGAAAACGCCTAGATTCTGTGGTCAGACTAGCGCAGGATTCGAATCTTGACAGGGTTCTTAAGAGGATCGTCTCTTCACCTGGAGATAATATCTGGTGGAGGGGATTGGGTAAAATAACGTATTACTATTCTCAGGGTACCAGAAACCTGCAGCACAGTCGGATCCGCGCGGCCCCGCCCCTTTCTCCACAGCCAATCAGTGGCTGCCTCCCGGAGCGCTTGTTCCCGGCCTCTGGCCACTCTTCTTAAGACTGCCCATTCCGAGGAGGTTCCCGGTTTGGGAAGGGATCCCCAGGACCCGCCCCCACCCGTTAGGGAGCAGCTGAGGACCCGAAGGTGCATCGAGGGGCCGAAAAGAGCTTTGAGACTGATCTCGAGTCCAAGGACCAAGTCTGTCCTCAAACCATTGTACAGATGGGGAAACTCGAGGCCCAGAGAAGCGAAACTCCCGCGCCGAAAGCAGAAACCCGGGTCAGGGTTTCTCCACTGGAGGTGGGAGTGGAGGTGCGCGCTCTTTCTAGGTGGGCAAAGGCCTTGCGGGAGCTGGGGCCGAAGCAGGGCACTAACGGTGCTGACTGGGGTTCGAGGCTGCGTGGGATGCTGGACCCACTGCTGCCTCAGTTTCCCCAGCACTACCTCTGGTGGGGGACGGGGGACGACGAAATTGGCCACACGCGCGCCTGCCGAGACACTCCGACTGTCCTTAGACTCTCTCGGCGCCTCCGCAAGCCTGATGCAGGACCCTTTCCGCGCGCTACCACCCAGCCCTTGGAAGTCCAGCCTCGAGTTCGAGCCTCTCGGCGTTCTATTGGAAAGACTCCAGGCTCCCGGACCCTTCTCTAGAACCTGCGGCTCCGACTGCCCGGCTGCGTTCCTGGAGCTGTAACTGCGCAGGCGCAAGGGCAGCCAATCAGGAAGGCGGGAAAGCCGCGTTGAGCGGAGAGTGTGTCAACCAATGACCTGAAGGAGTAGGGAGGGCGGGATCAGGCCCTCAGTTACTAGGCGCTACCCTGGTGGGAGGCAATTTAAGAAATGGGGTGATCGGGGGTTCACTGGCCTTTCACGTGACCGTCTTTCTGGGCCCCGGAAGTTAGGCAATGGAGAGGCGGGCCTAGCACCGGAAGCAGGAAGGAGGACGCAGGAAGCAGGGCGCTGCAACCACTCGTACTGTCGGTCAGCGTGTCGGCCGGTCCCCAGGGCAGGATGGAGAAGCTGCGGCTCCTAGGCCTCCGCTACCAGGAGTACGTGACTCGTCACCCGGCCGCCACGGCTCAGCTGGAGACGGCAGTGCGGGGCTTCAGTTACCTGCTGGCAGGTGCCACCCCGACCTTTGACCCATCCATTCGGGGCTCTGACCTCTGACCTCACTGGTCCCCGTCCCTGAAGAGTCAGGGTAGTGATTGCTGTGCTTGAGAAGTTGCTTCCAGGTTTCCGTAGGGCGTAGGGAGGGGACATCCAGGGACCCAGAGACGCAGAGTGAGACCACTCTCACAGGCGCCTCTTTCTGTGCCTTCTCCCCAGGTCGCGTCGCCGATTCGCACGAGCTGTCAGAGCTGGGTGAGCCGGGCTCAGGGTGGGTGGGTGGCGGGAGGGCCCAGGCGTGCTCCCCAGGGGGCTGACACCCCCAGGTCGCAGTCCTAGGCTTCCCGTTAGATCATGCTGTGCTGTGACTGAATCGGATAAAGGTCGGCGTCCACCCTCCCGGGCCCTCTATGTCCCCATAGTTGAAAGACAAATGAGACCTTGACTGGTCCGGCTGGCTGGGCCAAGCACTTTCCCTGCCTTTGCCCAGTTAATTCGCCCTGCGGTGATGTAAGGTCTGCAGTGCTGTCCAGTTAAGGGAACAGAAGTTCAGTGAGGTTAGGGAACAGCCACTGATGATCCCAGAACCAGGATTCAAGTCCAGATTCCAGGAGCCCCAGACTGTAACTGCCTCTGTGGTTTGCCCAGTGAGTACTGGAGGTGACGGTCCTGAAAAAACGAGCTGGGTTTCGAAAGGTGGAGATGGAATAGGCTTTCAGGGACAGGTTGCAGAGAAAGCAGAGGCCAGGATGTGAAACCACACATCGGTGGCTATTTGGAGCACAATGGGCAGTTCCAGCCGGTTTGTCACTGAGATCAAGCCATCCTTTCTAGTTCCACCGGCCCACACGAGATCATACTGGGGAGTGCAGAGCTCTGAAGTGGGCAGGGAGGCAGGTTGATTTCCACATCGTCTGTGGGTGGCTGAGCACAGCAGGTGGCAGGTGATCCATGCAGCTCTGGGGAAAGGGGGAGGAGGTGGAGTCTGCCGAGCAGCCTCTCAAGACCGCACTCTGCCTCTCAGTGTACTCTGCCTCCAACCTGCTTGTGCTGCTCAATGATGGGATCCTACGGAAGGAGCTTCGGAAAAAGCTGCCTGTGGTGAGAATTCTGCCAGGAACTGAGGGCGGGAAGCATAGGGCCTCAGGAAGGAAATAGTAATACCCGTCTGTGTGTGTAACACATGTTATGGTCTCATAAAGTAGGAGACATGCCTGTGTCCATTTGAACCTCAAGTCATCTCATTAGGTGAAGTGTCAGGATGTCTGTGTCCCCATCTCAGATGAAGAGACTTGAGTTTTAGACCACATGAGTTAGCCTGTCCCAGGTGGAGAACTCAGGCCTACACATTTAGAAAGGGGGAAATCCACCTCTCCTGTCAGAGGAGTGCCTGGGGGAGGGCCTGGGATGAGGGGGTACCCTTTGACCTCTTGGCCTGGGGTTCTTGCAGTCGCTGTCCCAGCAGAAGCTGTTAACATGGCTGAGTGTGCTGGAGTGTGTGGAGGTGTTCATGGAGATGGGGGCCACCAAGGTGTGGGGTGAAGTGGGCCGTTGGCTCGTCATTGCCCTCATCCAGCTTGCCAAGTATGTTGGGACTGTGGAGGGCAGGCCCTGGGTGGGGTTAACCATGGCCAGCTGTACAGATGGGGTTCAACAGAACTCCTCTGCACCCCTGCGGGCTAGTCACCTTCCCCCCAGCCCTGCCATACTCCCAATCCAGGGCGGTACTGCGAATGTTCCTGCTCATCTGGTTCAAGGCTGGCCTCCAGACCTCACCCCCCATCGTTCCACTGAACAGGGAGACCCAGGTACAGCCCCCAGGTAAGCTACTTCCCGACTCTGGAGTGGAGCTGAGCATGGGACTAATTGTGGATTTAGAGCTGACTAAATGAATCTTGTCCATTTATGGAGCACATCTGTCCTCATCAACTCATTTGCTCTCATCACCCTCTATTTTACAGAGAAGGAAAAGAAAGATTAGGTTGGGGCAGAATCAGAATTTGAACTCAGGACTTCTGATATCAGAGTCCTCATCCTTTTTTGTGGGCTGCAGGAAGAGGGGACAGAGCAGGAGACAGGGATCCTGCCAGTCTTGTCTCTGGTTTTGGCCCTACGTTGAGAACTCCAGGCTCATGAGGCATGACACCCAGCAGATCTGTCCCTTCAGAACTTCGGGCTCATCACCTGTTGGTCTGAGTCTCACTCTCCTAGCCTTGAGTGGTGACAGTTTTTTGCTTCTCTTGATCATATTGAAAGCCAAAGACTGAGAAGACAGCGCCTCTGGTGCTGTGATTTCTGTAGATGTGGTTGGGCCCTCCCTGCCTTGTTCCAGTCCCTTGGAAGCCTGGGTTCTTGGCTGGTTCATGTGCCACAGGTGATGCTGACCTCTTTCCAGGCCAGGGAGGGTGGCAGAATGCTGCCTACTCTGGACAGGTTCCAGGTTGAACCTCAGTCCTGCTGCAGTGTCCTTGCCTCAGCTACTGCCATAGTACACGCTCATCTGTTCTCCCCTTCACCCGTGAGCACTCATTCACTGCACACACATTCTTTGCAGGTTCTGCTGCAAACATGTCCCTCTGACAGTATGGCTTTCTGTCTACCCCTGCTAGATGGTGAGCACAGCCACAGCAGCCAGGAGCAGTCATACGTGGGGAAGCGGTCAAACCGAGTGGTGCGAACGCTCCAGAACAGTAAGTGTAGGATGCAGCTGGACTGTGTATCTCAGTGCTGAGGTCACCATGGGCCTGAGGGCCCGGCTCTCACCAATCCCCACCCTCCCCATGCCACGGCCTGGGCCTGGCTGCTCATCTCCCTTTGCATTCTAGCTCCATCCCTGCACTCAAGGCACTGGGGAGCCCCTCAGAAGCAGGAAAGATGGGAGCAGCAGCACCAGGAGGAGCTGAACGTTACCCCCACCCCGTTGGGGCTGCAGGAGACCATCGCAGAGTCCCTGTACATTGCCCGGCCCCTGCTGCATTGTATCCTTAGCATGGGGCCGCCGACACTTGGAGGTAGGGGTTGGCGGGAGTGGGCAGGGTGGGCCCTGTCCTGGAGACATCCTTGACACCTTGGCCGTCAGTGCTCAGCCTGGGCCTATGGGGTCAGCGGTCCTGGAAACCCTGGCTCCTGTCTGGTGTTGTGGACGTGACCAGGTGAGCCGGGGCCTGTTTGGGGGCTCTTATCCTTTCGCCGGGCTTTGTGCTGCAGGCCTGGCCTTACCTGGGCAGGCAGGCACCCCTGCTCCTCCTGTGGCTGGCCCTAACTGTGTCTCCTCCTCTCCCTAGTCTGAGCCTCCTGAGCGACAGGAAGGGCCTGACCCGGAGGGAGCGGCTTGAGCTGCGGCGTCGGACCATCCTGCTGCTCTACTACCTGCTGCGCTCCCCGTTCTATGACCGCTTCTCTGAGTAAGGGCCCTACCGCGAATGGTGGGGCCCACCCTCAGCAGGGGAGAGAGGCAGGCAGTGGGATGCCAGTGTCCCAACCCCCATTCATGCCTTTCTTCCTCTCCCCTCCCCCCATCCCAGGTTCACTGAGCACCTGCTATGTGCTGTCCTGGGGTGTGGTCACTTGCTCATTTTTTGGATCCAGCTTAGGTCTGCCCTCAAGCTCTTGGGGCTACTTGCCCATGCATGTAGGAGCTTAAACAGTTGTTGGCAGGAGACACACAGAGGGCCATGCCACAGGGATGGTGGTGGTCTCAGGCTCTCCACACCCTCCAGATCATTTCACATTCCTGTCAAATTGTTTGACTTAGTCCCCCTTCTTACAGGAGGCACTTGAGGTTCAAAGAGGTTGGGCCGCTTAAACAAGGCACCCAGCTAGCCAGTGGCAGAGCCAAATCCCCACATCGACGCCGTTCTCTCCTGGCCTAACCCTTGCCCAGCCCAGCCCTACTCTCACCTGTGAGGGTCCAGAGCTCCTCGCCTCAGCCAGACACAGAGAGGCCTGCTGGGTGTGGGAGGCCAGGCCCAAGGCTCCCAAGGGCCTGGCAGGGTGACTGTCTGAGGTCAGACCAAGATCTGAGGAGGGGTCTGTATAGCAGCTGGGTCTATGAGACAGACTGGAGACTCCCAGGATCCTTCTGTGTAGGTTTGAAAAAGTATACTGCTTAAAGACGGGAACACTCATTGGACTTGTACTTCATATTATGGCCATGCAGCCTCATTTTCTCTGAGACGGGAAAGCAAGTGTATGCTGTGTGTAATGCCGCCTTGGTGAAACAGCGTCTGCGGTTCCTGCTCTCAGCTGGTTTGAAAGCTCACGAGGCACCAAAGCCAAACCCTCTTCCATACTCTGGAAGCTCACACGAACCTCATGTCCTCCCTGCAAATTGCTTGCACTTTACAGAGGGAACATTATAGCCCACTACCTCGTTGACAGGAATTCTGAGATGATAATTGCAGAGGTGGCTTCCCAGGCAGCAAGCCTCTAGTTTGGCTCGCTCTCTGCTGGCCCGACCAGCCTGGCACCCTCAGAGCAGTGGCCCAGACTGAGAAGGGTCTAGAAACCAGTCAGAGAAATGCCATGTCCCCAGAGGACAGGAGCAGGGTGCAGGCTGGGAAGGCATAGGTTTTCTTCCCCTTTTCTTGTCACAGAGGGAATATAGTCTCTGGAATCAGGCTGCCTTCCAGGCCTGAGCATCCCGGGACCGTAGCTGGGGGAGGGCAGGACCAGAGCCGTGGCCAAGGTCCTGTCCTTTGTACTGGGGTCTGTCCTTGCTCAGTTCCTTTCTGTCTTGTGATGCACCACTTACAGTCAAGTGGTCGGCAGAGGCTTTCGGGCACCCTCATTTACAGGGACCCAGGTGCTTCCCTCAGCCCGCTCCCTGTTTATCTCCTCCTGCAGGGCCAGGATCCTCTTCCTGCTCCAGCTGCTGGCAGACCATGTCCCGGGCACTGGTCTGGTGACAAGTAAGCAGGGGGCGGGGTGTGATTATTACAGTGTGTCGTGGATCTCATGCATGGCCCTTTCCCCTGCTGTTTTCTCTTTGTCTCCTTGTAATTTGATTCTTGGCATAACCGGAAAGGGAGCCGGAGGTTGGGTTGGGTGGGGGAGAGCTCCTGGACATGGGCCAGGCCAGCCCATAGAGCCTCAGGCGGCTGCAGCGAGGGTGTCCCATGGTGGGAGGGGGGTTGGACCTTACCAGGCCATCAGCCTCTTCCCTGCCTGAGTGTCCTGGAGTGATACAAGACTCTCTGGGTGGATGCTGGGCTGTTTGGAGATTCCACCTTGGCAGAGAGCCACTGGGCTGGGCTGTCAGCATCTATACAGCTGGACATGCCGGGTGGCTTCTCTGAGCCTGAGAATCCTTGTCTGTAAATGGAGACCAAGATCCTGCTGATTCTGCCTCCCTGGGGGTGAAGAGGGGGAGAGTCGGGCTCCTGGCTGTGAGCATCTGTATTTGAGTGGCAGGGGCTGACATCTCTCTCTCATTCTCTCATTGCAGGGCCACTCATGGATTACTTGCCCGCCTGGCAGAAAATTTATTTCTACAATTGGGGCTAACAGACATCTTGGGAGTGGGATGCAGGGAGGGGGGGGGGGCTCAGCCCTTCAGTCCCTTGGGCCCTTCTGCCCTAATAAAACTGACTGACAGTATCCAAACCTGTGGCCTCTCCATGCCCACAGCCTAGGACACCTGGCACTGCCACCCTGGCCAGGCTCTGCACGTAGCCCTGGGCGCCACCAGAGCCCCTCTAACACCCTCTCAACTTTGCACCCTCCAACGATGGGGCCACCACAGCTGTACCTCGTCGCAGGACCAAGAGGCCTCTGCTGGGACTGGAAGCCAGCACTGGGACCCAGGCCCCTCAGCCACAGAAAGCTGGGATTGAACCCGAGCATGGAGAGCTGCTCGCAGTGGAAACCGCCTCTCTCCAGCCCCTGCTGACAAGGCTGAACCGAAGCAGCAATGACACTTGCCTGCGTGTCTTCTGGCCAGAGCCTCTGTCTGCCCCTCCCCCCTGCAGGGCCCTGCTGTTGGCCAGCCTCTCTCTGAGGGAGCCTGGTGGTGGGCCCACTTCAGTGCAGGGTGGTGCCCCAAGCTCTGAGCTCCTAGCTGAGAGCAAAAGGCTTTTCTCCTCTGGGGAAAGGATGTCGGGCCCCAGCCAGCACTGGGGTTGATGCTGGGCTGGGAGGGAGCCCCAGCTGCTCCTGAGCAGCTCTGGGAGGAAGCTGGGTGAGGTTCTGCCTGGTCTTTCCCTTTCTTAACCTCCGCCCCACCCCCTTGACCCTGCAAACACCGCACTGTGCTGCTGCTTTCTAGCCAGATGGGTGGTCCCTTAGGTTCTGAGAGGACTTGGTCTGTGTTGGTATCTCTCGTGCCTCACCTCCCAGACCCTCAGGTGGAGGGCCCGCCCAGAGGGAGGCCAGCCATTTCCTGACTGCTTTCCCAGGTGCCTCTGAGAAGCCAACTCCAGCCCCTGGGCCGGGGAGTGAAGGCACTGAGTTTGGTGGTCACAGCCCGAGGCCCACAACCTTCCCGTCTTAACAAGCGTTGCTGGGCAGTCGCTCTGCGGGCTCCGTGCCTTGTGCTGTATTCAGAAATGAGTGAAGCGCAGTTCTCGCCCCCGGCTCTCGGTGATCGGTGGAGACGTGTACAGTGCGCCGGTCCCTGCAGCAGGCACCAGTGTGCGTGGGAAATAGTCTAGACTTGGGGTGTGTTCCAGCCCAGGCTGATGACTGGGCAAGGCTCCGTTCAAGCAGGCTCGTAACTGGTAAAGCTCCATCCGAATTTTGATGGGCAAACTGGGTGAGGAGGCCGTGTGTACAGAAAACAGCATGCGTGGTGTCACAGTGGCATGAAGCCAGTGCTGGGGCAGGAGGCAGTAGAGGGTGGGAACAGAGGGGATGAGTTTGGAAGGGAAGGTCAAGGCCAAATCCAACAGGCCATCACATACCCAGGGGGAAACTGGGACCTGCCTCTGGAGGCAGTGGGGAAGGGGCCTTTGTGAACCTCACCGCAGCTGCGTGGTGCAGGGAGGACTGATAGGCACAGGTGGGGGATGGGGCAGACTACTGGCGGAGACCTGGAACAGTACATGGGGCTGAATGAAGGCCGTGGCAGGGCGACGGGCTTAGGAGTAACCCAGGCCTGGGACCAGATGTGGATAGAGGAAGAGGTGACATCCTGGAGGCCAGAGGGCTTTGCATTTAGAGCCTCTGGGAACTCAGAGTTCCCGGCAGGGGTGGATTTTGGTGGGGACTGGATCCAGAAGCAGGAGCCTGGGAGGGAGGGAAGGAGCTGGTCAGTGAGAAGTCCATGCGTGTGGTCGAGCACAGGGAGCAGATGTACTTAAGGAGACTAGAGCTGGCTAGTCTCAGGGCTGTCTGAACCAGGAGCCAGGCTGGAAAAAAGGGACAGCCCTTGCTGGGCCTGGGGCACCTCGGCAGTTGAAGGAGGGGATTGGACCTGCTAGTAGACCCGCTGTCTTAGAAGCAACTGAGCTTCCTAAATGGAAACCCCCAGCTCAGCCCTCAGGTTCTGATCCCACAGGTCTGGGTGGGCCCCAGGGTTTGTTTTTAAAGCCTTGGGTTCAGGGCTTCTGCAGTGAGCCAGGTCAGCCCCGCATTAACCAGGCCCAGCAGGAACCAAAGGGCCCCACCATCCCTCTGGCCTGTGACGAGAGTCCAGCACACTGTCATGGCATTTACTCATTCAACAAATATTTATTGAGCATCCACTAGGTGTCAGGTGCTGGGGATCCTGTAGTCCCTGCCCTCTGGAAGCTTACACTCTAGAGGAGCAGGTCCCAGACTTTGCCACCTGACTTGCCCTCTGTCCAGCCTCTGGGGCGATGGCAGGGCCTATGGAGGCCCTGAGCAAGGCCGTTCGAAGCTGTGGGGAGCTAAGTGGGAAGTGCCAGAGTACGTCCCCCAGTGGGATCTCGGAGCTGGCTAAGGCTGGGACTCCGGGCTCGTCAGTGGCAGGACCTCCCTGGGACTACTGAGCTGCTGGAGGGAGTGCCAGCTGGTGGTGGTGGCAGGAGGCAAGGAGGCTGGGTGGGAACTGGGTGGGGCTCTGGGTGTGATTCAGTGACTCTGACCTCTGCTGAGGGCCTACTGTGTGCCAGACTTGGAGACATGTATGTACCTCACCTCACAGAGGAGCAAACAGGCCCACAGAGATTAAGTGACAGGTCCACCTAGGAAGAGGGGAAGGCGGGATTTGAACTGAGAGCTGACTCCAAAGACCTGTGACCTTAAACCGTGGGCAGTGGCACTAGAACAAGATGTGTTCTGGCATTTGCTGACCAACAGCATCAGTCAAGTCAAACAAGTAAAAAATAAACGTCAGCGTGGAGGCTTCTGGCCTAGTCAGGATCTGGTGCTGACACTCAGCCCTGGAACTAATGTCCTTTGTGAGGTGGCGCTGGGAGTTGGCAGCGGGTTCCATCCGCTGGGGGAGGGGCCAGCAGAAGCAGGGACCTGCGACCCGAGTGGGAGATGGCTCTACACCACAGGGCTGGGCTGAGCCTCTTCTTCCTCTCCCTCATCCTGGCCTCTTCACTCCTCCACCCCCAGCCGCTGAGGTAACTCCCAGGAGCGCAGCGTCAGGGCTCAACAGGGTCCAGGGATCTGGAAGGTGGGGGGCTTCTGCCATGTTGCCCCCCGCTCCCTGGAGAGGCTGGTGCCACTGTCCTGGGCCATTGCCTGCTTCACAGGGTGCTCAGTGGCCTTTGGGGCTAGCGCTGAGCACCCCAACATCTCCCACAGGCCGCAGCGATCTGTTCCTGAGGACTTTTCGGCCCCACTGGAACTCCCACAGCCACTGTCCGGCCTGGTGGACGGTACTCTCGCACCCCTTCCCCTCGCTGCCTCCCCGCCCCGGTGGGAGAGACGCCCTAGGGAGGGGCTTATCTCAAACAGCATCTGTTCAGGGGTGACTGGCAGATTCAAAACCAGATTCTCCCTCCCACCCGCACCCTTTCTCTCTCTCTAGACTATGGGATCCTACCCAAGCACCCATGGCCACCAGGGCCTCGCCCCCTCCTCTCCCGGGCCCAGCAGCGCAAGCGGGACGGACCAGACATAGCTGAGTATTACTTCGACACGCGCCGGTGATGGGAAGGAGCCTCTTATAAAGCTGTTCTGTGCAGCAAAGCCTTGGGCTTTCCTGGGACGGAAACGCGCTGAGTGTGGGAAGGGTCCAAGTAGATACACCCACCGCGGTCCAGACAGGAAATGGCACTTTAATAGTTGTGGCCAGCGTGACAGGACCAAGATGGGGCTACAGCCGAAGCAGCCAAGAGGCCGGGCTGGCCTGGGCCAGTCAGGAAGTCCTTTTCCTGCCAGGGTGGGGCCCTGCTCAGCTGTCTCCTTCTTGAGGGCCCCACATCTGCCAGGGGCCACATGCCAGTGAGGCTGGCAGTGGAGCCATTCAGAGGCCACACAGTTACAGGGACTGTACCTCCACCTGCTGCCATTTCCTTACTGGATAGTCCTCGGCAGGTGCTGGGCGCGGCCTGAGCTCCAGGCCTTTGGTTGGGGTTGGGACTTGGGGGCAGGGTGGGCACTTACAGGCGGCATGAGCTTCATCAAGGCAGAAGCCAATGGCCAGAGAGCCAGAGGCCCTGGCAGGGGAAGTGAGGCCCAAGATGGGACAGAACCGTCTGCTCCTGGATGGGCATCCTTCCTCGCCAGAGGCCTGACCAGCCCGCCCCCACCCAATCCCTGGGCAGCCTGCTCTGTCCTCCATAGATGAATCTAACCCCTTATATTACAATAAACTGCATTTGCCTCTCCCCATAACCCCCACCCTCCCACCCTCGGCCAGTGGCCTCCACTTCCCCACCCTCTGGTGGTGGCGGGTCCCCTCCGCCAGCAGTGCCACGTCCTGTCAGCAGCCAGCTGTCCTGGCACTGGCCCGAGGGCCCGGGGATGCGGAGGGCAGGGCAGCGCTGCTACTCCAGGTAGATGTCTTCTGTGGGGCAGGTGTACTCCACGAACTGCTTGTAGAACTGCTGAAACGCCCTCCTAGGAGGCAGGCAGACATACACGCTGACTGGGGCGAACGGGAGCTTAACCCACATGTTAAACTGAAGCCTCGGGGTCCCTGAGGGGGTTCCAGTTCTCCTGGCTCAGCTCTGTACCCTACAAACTGTTTCCTGAGTGAGACCGCAACTGAAGAAAGGGTTCAACAGCTCAAACGTTTGGAAGCTACTCAAGACCACCCAGGCCTCTCGAGGCCACTGCGCTGTGACCTGGAAGAGGTGTGCAGAGCTAGGGGAGGACCGAGGGTGACACTGAGCACGAGAAATGTGCTTGAGGGCCTGGCACTCGGTGGGACACACATACATACCCCACAGACTCCGCCAGGGCTTTGGTGGATTCTTCAGACACAAAGACATGGCAGGCAAACCGGTGGTCGGCAGGGTGCTTAGTGATAAACCCAAAGTACCTGTGGGAGGACAGTAGTTTGTCTGTGGGTGGGATGGGGGCTCGGATTCCTCTAGGCACATTTGTGACCCCACATCCTGTCATAGTGGCTCCAGACTCCCAGCCCACACCTCAGCCTGTTCCACCCACTTACTTGTTGTTCTTCGGATGGTACCCACAGAAAGAGATGTTTTTTAACTGGAAAAAGTGGCTACATTTATTCCCCTACAGGAGGAAAAGGAGAAGAGGGTGGTCAGCAGCCTGCAGGGGGCAGAGGAGGGATATCTGGTGGGAGAGGCAGGGGCGGGGCCAGGGTGGTCACCTTGACCTCCTGGGAGTCATCAGCCTTGACACCTATCTTCACACCCCTTACGCTGATCTCGAGGACACAGCTGGAGGGCGGGTTAAAGTGCACGGTGAGCCGGCGGGTGGTGGCAATCTGTGGGTGAGGGACAGGAACATCAGGTGCGGGGTGTCCGTCTCCCAGGATAGGGACCGGGCTGGGGGTGGGCATCCACTCCAGGGGAGCGGGAAGCGGGTACCTTTTGCATAGCGGCACAGAGGACGTCGTTGCCTTTGTGGTAGGGAACCTGGACTGAGCCCAGGAACTTCACCCGAAACTGGTCCACCCAGTCGCTGTTTTTGGTCAGGGCTGGAAAGCAAGCATGAAGTGAGGAGTGGCAGAGCCAGCAGAGGGTGCCACAATCCACGGATGTCCCCACTTGGCTGGGCCTCACTTTAATCAACTGTAAAACTGACCCAAAGTCACCTCTGCTCGGCCCCTCCCTGAGTGTCGAGATCTGGAGCACAGGTTCGCCTGGCAACAAGTTGGGGCAGGGAAGACGTGGGGCTGGCGGCACCAGGCAGGGGGAAGGGAACACTACCTGCCATATGTTCAGGCTCCTTGGTGACCTCGATGGCGTAGTAGGCAGGAAAGATGCCCCGGGCCCCTGTGCGCATGTTGTAGGCCTCATACCAGTAGTCCTCAGCCTGCAGCTCCACCAGCAGAGGGTCATCCACTTCCAGCTCAAGTTCGTCTTCATGTCGAGGCACAAACCTGTCCCCAAAGAAAGCATGTGCAGACTTCACAGGGGGCCTCTCCAGTCAGGCCATCCATCTACTCCCCACCCTGCTCTGGGGTCTGCGAGCTGCACTAGCATTAGTTCCATAGACATTCGCAAAGCATCCGTGAGCCTGTCAATGCTCCTGGGAGAGACCCATGTCAATCAGATCTGCATCTGCCGTGGAGGAACTCCCAGACCAAGGGAGGAAGTGACCAGAGCCACTGATAAAATGTCAGGTGATGGGAAACAAGCGCTTCCATGAGTAAGGGGTGGGTTTGGTGTGGGGTCAGGTGTCGTCTCTGCGGGGCGCCCTTCTGGGCTCTGGTCCTGGCCCGATCGGGTGCTCACTCCTGCGCTCTGGCAGCAAAGGCCACACTGCACTGAAACATCCCCTCCGTTACCCTACTCTTGAGTAGGGGCGGATGCCGTCCCTCTGGGGCAGAGCAGATGGATGACGCCAGTGCTCTGGTTGGGTGCAGGCCATGTGCTGATGGTACAAGCAGGGAGGCGGCCCCAGCCGCTGCCTGGCCAGCCCAGCTCTGTGCTCTTACCTGAATATGGCCCGGTGGGTCTGCTCCTGCTCCTCCCCGTTGATGACACAGGAGAAGAGCCCAAAGGACTCTGCACCTATGGGTGAAGGGGACTAGCTGGAGGAGGAAGGTCCCCAGCTCTGGTCGAGGTTCGAGGGGCAGGCAGGTAGAGAGCTCTCAATCCTTATGCCTTGAACCAGATGGGCCTGAGGCCACCTCCCAGGAACACCCTCATTTCAACTCTTCCCACCAAGGTCCCCCCAGTTCCCACTGCAGACTCACTGGAGGAGCGGGAGCGGCCACTCATGAAGACGTTCAGGAACTTCTTGGAGAAGTGGACATCGGGTTCGTCGGGTGTAGAGTCCTCGGAGAGGCAGGCAGAGGGCCGCGGCCGCGGTGCCTCCTCATATTCTTCCCCAATGGCCGACTCGTAGGGTGAGGAGGCAGAGGCGCAGTTGTCATAGACAGTGGCCGAGTCACTCTCGTCACTGTAGTCTCCGAAGCACGGCCGCAGGCTCACCAGCTCCAGCTGTGCGTGCTCATCCACCACCAGTGTGTACTTGACCGAGTCGTAGGACAGCGCGCTGGTGTCCGAGCTCAGAGAGGCCCGTGGAGGCGGCGGCGGCTCCCCCAGGCTCCCCCGCCACCCTCCTCCTAGTGGCTCAGCCCGCTCTGGGGAGGACAAGCAGTCGAAGCCCTCATCCTCCTCACTGATGGAGGGGTGTGGCCGCCCCGCCGTTGAGGGGTAGGCAGCAGGGTCTGGATCTGAGCTGACGGACATCCGGCTCTCGGCTGGCGGCAAGAAGGCAGAGGTGGGCTCTGCAGGGTCTGGGGGCCTCTGCACTGGTGTCAGGTAGATCTCCTCAGTGGCCTCTAGCCGCACATCCGCCTGGTAGTGGATGCGGTCTCGATGTGAGTGGCCCCGGCCACCAGGTGGGGCAGCCTGCGGGCCACTGGGAGGCGCCATCTGGGTGGCAGCACTGCGGCGGCAAGGGCTGTCGGTGGAGGTGCCTCGGTCCGTGGTGGGGGCAGGGCTGCTCTGGGGGGGCAGCTCATCACTCAGGCAGATGTGTTCATGTGGAGGTGTCTGCTCCCCTGGAGAGCAAGCAGGTTGGTGCTGAGGACAGGTGCCCTCACCCTTGACTGCCGGGCTACCTGCTCCCTACACTCAGCATGCCCAGTCAGCATGCCCGCTCAGCAACAGGCCTACGGCTGGCTCCGGGGCCAGCCCCATCACTCGTGCCACAGCTGACCTCAGATGGGCTACTCAAGGCTGTGGGACAGGCAGTCTACCTTACCCACAAGCTGGAGACTACTGGGTTTGCTCTCTGCAGTGGGACTTGGCCAGGGAAGGTGGGAGTCCCGGAAAGGGATTGGGTGCTGACTTACCTGTCTTCAGGGGTGAGGATGATCGAGACACCCGATCCTGCCAACTGTGCTTCTTGCCCAGAGAATTATTATTCAGCGTATCCTGTGAAGGGAACAAAAGGCCCTTGTGACAGAAGCGATCAACAGTGCCCGGCACAGGGAGGCCCTGGCCCTGCCCCCATCAGGCCATCCCTAGGCCATTTGCTGCACACCTACCCCCACCACTTATTCAGGGCCTCACCCTGAGCCCCCTCTGGAGCGGGCAGGAAGAGTGGCAAGTCCCAGCCCTCCCAGTCAGGCCTACTGGCTCTAGCCAGCCCCGTCTCCTGGCTCAGGGAAGCTGGCCAAGACTTAGAGAGATGCTCTTATCAGCCTCCACAAAGGTGGTACCCAAGTCCCCTGAAGCTCAAGAAGCTATGGCCTAGGGAAGGGGCAGAGGCACTCTGCAGAGCCTGAAAAAAGCACAAGGAAGGGTCTTCCCAGGAGCTGGCCTGGGGACTGGGGATGAATCATCCAAATGAATCCACAACACGGTTCCATCACTCCCCACCCCCCCAGAGCACATGACTGAGAAATGACAGATGTAGTTGTCAGAGGTCCTTCTTGCTGGATCTCCTGGACTGCCCATGCCATATTCTCAGCCCTCAGGAACCCTCTCCACAATGCCTGCGTACAAGGCTCCCTACACACAACTTAGGCCCCCTTTCCTGGGAACACCCTCACAGGCCCTCACATTCATGAATTTAACTGCCAAAATCCACCCCTGAGGATCCTGGGAAAGGAACCCATCATTTCCCTGCAGCCCCTGCATTCTCCACCAACAGCCCCACCTCCCTGAGCTGCTCCTCTGTACCTCTCCTGCCGGGGCCTGGAAGACAAAGGGCCACAGCCACTCTCGCCCACCCTATTCAACCCTCCTT